TGTGATCAGCTTTGGTAACCACATTTGCTGTTGCATTGAGGTTTAGGTTGGTGAGGCTGTTTAGTTGCTCAATTCTATTTTCAAAGGTCAACAATTGAGCCTGTAGATCAACCCAAGTGAGTGTAGTTTGATCAGATAATTTGACAACTATTGGATTATATTCAGAATCCAAACCATTCAGAGTTTGAATGAGTAGATCAGAATTTGAGATTTCATGTCCTGCAAGTTTGAGTTTATCAGCCAGATTCTTCATTTTGGACAGATAATCTTCCATTTTCATGTCTCCTTTTCTGGTGCTATGGAACTCAGATTTAAGGTAAGTAACTCGTGACCTTGTGTGAGCACCAGCTAGACTTTGAGCTTCATCCCAAAGTTGTTTTGAGGTTTCACAGTGTAATAACTGTGTTGCCATGTCAGCAGTCATTGAATTCATTAACCAACCAAGGAGTTGTTGATCACTTGCTTGCCAGTCTTCAAAATCAGGATTGGTCTTTCTGATTGAATCTGCAGCAAGGATGAATTCTTCAGGGCACTCCTTTTTCCCTAACATGTAACCATCGAGCCTGGCACCTCTGATGATAGGTAATACCAGTGATTTCCATAGGGGAAAGTTGTCTCTGTCCAGCTTGACAGATACAGTGGATGGAAGGTCATTTTTGGGGTTGGAATTGGCAGCGGATGACATGGTTTGTTTTTCGGATCAAGAGCCTTCAAGGCGTAAAAGCTCTGATACCAAGATAGAAAACTGAATATTGTATATTCACTTTCATATGTTACATGTGTGAATACCTGAATATATACAGTAAAAAGGAGAAGTAGCTGATCCTATAATCATGCTAGTCATTATAGCAATGATTCTACAATAATGACAATTATTGATTACATTAAAGTCTAAAATATGGAATAGCTTAACTATAGGGATTGACTAATTCATATCATGATTCTCATGATCATCCATGATTATAGGATCCGTAATCAAGGGAGATTTATTGATTCTCTAACTAGTGTCCATCATTAATTCAGACAGAGACAACTCTCTCTGCTCACATTTGACATCATTCTAACTCACGTCCAACATGGCCAAGTTAGAGACGATGCTTAGGATCTTGAAGGCGAACTCGACGTGATACTAGTTTTTGCACTTTCGTAGAAATTCAATTTGCCTAATCTACCAAAAACTAAAAAATTCACCAACATGCAACATGATATACTAAATCCAGGTACCATAAACAACTCGAAAACTACATCATTGATAACATGCAACCAACAAAATTCACAAATTCAAAGTGACTCAAGATCACAATATCAAGAGCATCTTCCACAACATAGAGAGCAAACATTCTTAGCTATGGGTCTTGAATCTTCAACTTAGCCAAACATATTAGGTATAGGAGGGAAAAGGGAAAGGTTTTCCCGTCTAAAGGAGGAAGAAAAAAAATTTGGGTTTAAAAAACTCCTTTCTAACTTCTCTCTACAATTTCTTTAAATATGAATCTATAAGATTAGCGTCTTGAGAAAAAATTTATATACCATTTTTTATACTGGACTAACTTAACTATATTTCTACTATTATTGAGATAATTTATTTTTAAAGTCCCTTAACTTCAGAGTTCTCAAACAATAATACTAACGACAACCTACAACTAATCATATAATTAAATTAAACACTCCAAATATAGTGTTACAAATTTCACTAAATATTTTATAATTAAATAATTTAATCTCTAAATGATTATAATATTTGTTCAAAATATTTAACGCAAAAATAATTCACTATTGATATTAAAGTAATTAACTCTTATAAAAAATAATTAAGTTTTGATATCATATTAAATAAATAGCTAACAACTGTTTATCATCATCACTCATGTATTTAGCTTTGGCCTAACTTTTCAATTGTCTTTGTTCAATGTAGTCTTATTTTTGTACATACTCCATTCGGAGCTAATTTATGAATTTGGTACATAAAGTTTTACGTACCCACGTGCCAAAATCAATTGAGCTAGACGATTAACAGCTAATGTAACTAATAAATGTACAAATGATTCTCTTAAAAAATTTAATGATTTAAATTAAGTTCTTATCATAAAAATTTAACCAATAATTAACATTGATGAAAAAAATAATTAACATTAACATAAATATAATAAAGGTGTGAGTATTGTTTATTTATAAAAAGTGATAAGTGCAGTAAAAAAAAGTGATAGGAAAAATATATAAAATATTAAAATAAAGAATAAAATGTTTAAAATTGTAGAAATATATATAAATAGTTAAAATTAAAAAGACTAAAATTCACATAAATTAGAATAAAAAGTAAATAATATACTAATTAATTAAGCCTTGAAACTTTTAATTAAATTCTTTTGCTTATCAAAAAAAAAAAAAATTAAGCCTTGAAAATTCTTGCACATTGGTTGAGTGCCGTAATGGAAAAGGGAACACTGTGTGAACGTGTGAATTGAATTCGTTTTACCAGATTTTTTTTAATTAAAAAAAAAAAAACACATGAAGAAAGGCAAGGATAGGAACACCGTCGGTTACCCAATAAATAAACATGAACGCACTTTGTGACGAAACGTGTGCCAATTATAGCCGACCGATTCTGCCAGCGTGGACGGTTTCTTCTTCAATGTTGCGTTCTCTCTCTCTATCTCTTCTTTACCCATTTTTTCTTTCCTCATTTATAAACCACACTTTCATCTTAAAAAATCAGAATCAAAATAAAATAAGAAAATAAAAATAAAAAGAGAAGAGGAAGAAACGTATAGAAAAAGCTTCTCCGAAAATCTGGCAAATAGAGACCAAGAGAGATTCATGTTCGTCAAGTTTCTGATCCTCTTTTCACTTCCTTTCTCTTTCAGGTTCCTTCTTCATTCATCTTTCTCTTTCCAACGCTTCAACTATTTTCTTTGCATCTTTTTCTTATTTTTTCGCCTTTTCACGTTCAATTTCTACTGTTATACGCATTTAATTATTGTTATTATTATTTTTTAATTTTATTTGCTAATTTTGCTATTTGAGTAATTGGTATGCTTGTTTTTTTCGTGAAGGTGATTTCTCTTGACGATAAAGCTGCGATTTCGCTGGTGTCGTTTTGCTCTAAGATGGCGTCGTTTTCAGGAATATAATAGCTAGGGTCTGGGAATCAGGGTTGAAGTTCTTCAGCATTGAATCTGAATCTTTGGTTAGATAGGTTGGTTTGTTTGGAACTCAATTCAATTCAATTGGTCCTCCCTTTTGTGGAAACTCAATTCAATTTGGTTTGTGAAAATTGAAAAATGGTTGAGTCAATTGCTGCAACTTCACTACTTGGCCACCGTCCAGTTTGTGGTGGAAATTTCACCAGGGATGTGTCTGGTAAACGCAAATCTTTGAATACCGTTCGGTTCCCGACATCTGAGTTTCTCGGTGGTAGGAGGATTGTGGTTTCTTTGGCTTTGCCTAAATCTATTAAACAAGATAGATTCATGTTTTCTTCAATTAAGGCCTTGGCTGTGGAATTAACAAGAGAAGCACATGCTTATAGGGAAGAGAAGTTGCCCAAGAGGGATAACAAGATTGATGGTGGATTTGATCCAAGGCCTGATTCGTGGCCTCCCACAAATAGAGCAGATAACCCGTCGCTTCGGAATCCCTTGCTCCGGCAAGAGAGGATGGGATGTGGTTGGTTGGGTGCTATATTTGAGTGGGAGGGAGTTCTTGTTGAAGACAACCCTGATCTAGAGAAGCAAGCTTGGCTCGTACTGTCTCAGGAAGAAGGCAAACCCTCTCCTCCTGCATTTATCCTCAAGAGAATAGAGGGCATGAAGAACGAACAGGCGATTTCAGAAGTGCTGTGTTGGTCAAGGGATCCGGCACAGTTAAGAAGGATGGCTAATAGAAGGGAAGAAATCTACCAAGCTTTGCAGGGTGGGATATATAGTCTCATGTCAGGGTCCAAGGAATTTGTGAGTGTTTTGATGCATTATAAGATACCAATGGCATTGGTTTCCACGCGTCCTAGAAAGGCTCTCGAATCTGCTATAGGGGAAATTGGTATCGGGGATACTTTCAGTGTTATTGTAGCAGCAGAGGATGTTCACAGGGGAAAGCCTGATCCAGAAATGTTTGTGTATGCTGCACAGCTTTTAAACTTCATACCTGAGAGGTGCATTGTGTTTGGAAACTCCAATTCAACAGTGGAGGCTGCACATGATGCACGGATGAAGTGTGTGGCTGTTGCTAGTAAGCATCCTGTCTATGAGCTTGGAGCTGCAGACTTGGTTGTCAGGCGCCTAGATGAGCTTTCAGTGGTTGATTTGAAGAATCTTGCAGACATTGAATTGACTGAATTTGGGTCTGTGGAGCCCGAGTTGGAGATGGAGATGGAAGAAGATTATGACACATCATCAGTTGATGACAATTTCTGGTAAATCCTATAAATGTACAGTTGATTGAAGTTCATCCGATTGTTGATGATATTAGTTACAGGTAGATTACTTGTGTATATGGTAACATAATAAATGGGGGGAAATGATAAGTGGTCTGATTGAACATTGATGTTATTACTAATGCATTTTCTGTTCATATACATTCATGGGATTTTAAGATTTGATTTACCGGTGATTCCATCCAATAGATAGAATACAAATTACCTAGTCAAGTTTAGGTAAGTTCTACTTTTGGTCCATGTGACATTATTCCCTAACCCTAACTCGGGAAAATATGAAACCTTCAAATAAGTTTTTTTTTTTTTTTCAAGGATGACCATTGTGTTTGCGGGTATTAAGGTATGCTAAACCCAAAATGTAATCAAAATGTTAATCATAATGCTAATTATTTTTGAAGAGAGAGAGAAGGAAGAAAGATCGAGATTGTTGCCTCAGTTTGCATAGAGCTGTGGGTATTCGCCAATCGCCGTACATTCATTCCTTATTTTTCGAGTGTTTATATTATACATTAGTCTATTTTGATAATATTGTTTACTTGTAACTTATCCTCTTGCCATTTCTAAAATAAGGGCTGGTGTGTCATTTTTATTAAAGAAACTGGGTGCTAGCTGGGGACCACTTTTATTTTGGTTTGTGGCATTGTATAATTCGAGCCTTTTAGCAAAATAAGAACTCGCATCAAGTCATCAGTCTTTTGTGAACCAAGTAGAAATGATTGTGTCCAGTTGATTTTTTTTTTTTTTTTGTGAAAATAATTGTTTATTTTTATCTACTTTGTAGCAGAACTTTAAAAAAGGAAGTATCAAATAGCTCATACAAACATATTAAAATAGAATTTAATTGTGATACACATTTACACAATTAATCAATCACAGTCTATATTATAAATAATAAGTATATCAAATTTTATAATAATTATTTTAAAAATCATATAAAGTATACTGTTATTTCTGATCGATTATTTGTGAATAGTATTTTATATCGGAAGTCCATCACTTTCATACCCATTAAAAAATGTTGGTATTAACTTTTAAAAGTTGATTTCAAAAGAACCGGTGGAATGGTTGCAAATCAAACGTGCCTGTTGGGGTTGGGTTGCAGAATAGGGGTTGGGGTTGAAGTACATGTTTGACTGTTCGTTTGTAGAATTGAATTTGAATTTTATTTTAAGTAAATAACATGAATTTTATATGGATAATATCTATTAAAAAATGATTTTGACACATTGTTTGAAAACTTATAACTATAAATGATTTTACGGGTGAAATTATCAAAAATGGTTTTGCAAAATAAAAGCTGTGATTATTATTATTTTCATGTGAAAAATTGTTATATTGTAATTTGTAACTGTACCGTCACGGTGAAATGCTGATAGTATATCTTCGGTTACGATAGCTCAATCACCGCCTCGGTCGATTCCCTCAGGACCGGTCGGTTTATAGCCGCATGTTGTCACTAGAGTCGGATTTCAACCCTCTTAAGCCCTTTCGTCTTAACGGCTCAGGGCTGGAAGGCAAGTGTACCGTCACGGTGAAATACCGATAGGATATCTTCGGTTACGGTAGCTTAGTCACCACCTCGGCCGGTTCGTAGTTGGACTAACACAAAGTATGCCATTCTCGGTTTTTATCCGACACCCTTCTCTTCTCCAGAATCCCCTCGGCCTATGACCGATAGGTGGCGTCCCAACCGTTTCCTTTATGACCGATACCCCACTCGACCAATGCCCGATTGGACTTCTCGGAATGGGCAAAGCCGATTACGAGCCAATTTAGCTTTTATGTGTTTAAAATAATACTTTTAAAATAAGGACGGTTAAGGAGAATCTCGACAATCTCGGGGCCCATGAGGCCTGTAAACAAGAAACTATAAAGCCAAAAACCCTAGAGAGGAGAAGACATATTACACTTTTGAATGCTCTGGCTCTAAGGCACGATCTAGGAAAAAACCCTAGTCCACCCTTTGGCCGGAACATTTTGGCGCCCACCGTGGGATTACGGTGAAACTTTTCCTACGCCCCAAGAAACACAAAAAAAACCTACACCCTATCATGGCGAGAGGCGGCAATAACAACAACTCGCAACCACCAACCATGGAGGAGATGATGGCCATGATCAATGGCTTAAGGGAGGAGAATGCGCGATCCATGGAGAGAGAGGAGGCCATCCAACGTGAAAACGAGGAGATCAGGAGGCGAGCGGATGAGATGCAGGCCAGGATAGAAGCCAGTACCAGAACGGTGGAGGAGGATGTCATGTTGGAAGTCCCTAGGGATTTTCGACCTTTCTCAAAAGCCATAGAGGCCAAGGCCATCCCCAGGGATCATCGGATACCGCAAGTTGAACCCTTTGAAGGAACGCAGGATCCCAATCAACATTTGACGGATTTCCGGGCTCAAATGCTGATATGTGAGGGAAGCATGGAAGTCCGTTGCAAGCTATTCATGGGGACACTCAAAAAGGCAGCTCTCGACTGGTTTAGCGGTCTGCCTGACCGATCCATCACCGACTTCGACGTTTTCAGTCGGCTCTCCATGGCACAGTTCGCCGCTAACAAGAAGAAGCCACCGATCACGTCGGACTTGTTCGATCTCAAACAGCAAAGGGAAGAGTCGTTGAAGGATTTTCTGCAACGATTCAATGAGGTCGCCTTGAGGATAACATCCTTGGACGAGAGGATGGCTGTCATTGCATTCCAGAAGGGTCTGAGGTCTGGGGCTTTCGACGTCGCACTGGAAAGAGCGAATTGCCAGACGATATCGGAAGTGTGAGAGCCTTCGCACTGAGTCACATTAAAACGGAGGAGGGGCAGATCAGCAAAAGAGCAGCAGAGAGCCGAGAAGCAGGGGGTAGCAATAAGGAGGGAAGCAAACATCTCCGACCGCGGTCGGATTGGAATAAGCGACGCGACCGCTACAACATGAAGGAGGGTGGTTACCGACAGGCCGATCATGGTGGTCGGGTAAGGGGCGAGTGGACACGCAGCAATGATGAAGAAAAGTTCACTCCGCTCAATGTTCCCAGGCGACAGATATTTCACGATGTCAACAGCACATCGTTGTTTGAATTCCCCGCAGCAACAGAGCGTCAGTTGGGACCCTTTAAAATCGATTGGTGTGAGTTTCATAGAACCCACGGACACTCTAATGAAAATTGCTTCTTCTTAGGGAGGCAGATCGAGCGCTTGATCAATGAAGGGCGACTGAAGCAGTTTGTGGCAAGGAAACAAGAAGGAGGTTCGTCGGATAGGCGACACAGGCGCGCACAAGAAGACACCTGCAGAAATGGGCGTAGAGAGAGAACACCTCCCAGAGACACGCCGACGAAGTTGACCGAAACCCACCAGCAACCCATCCACGGCGATTTCAATACCATCGCAGGGGACTTCGCCGGCGGGGGAACTACCTCGGCAGCCCGAAAGAGGTACACTCGGTCGGTGCTGACGGTGTCGGAATTCAGGCGACCATCTCAGCCTGAGATTTCGTTCTCAGACTCGGATTACGAAGGAGTAGCCCCTCATGAGGACGACCCCATCGTCGTATCGGCGATTGTCATGGGGTACAATGTGAAGCGTGTGTTGATTGACCAGGGAAGTTCTGCGGACATTTTATTCTGGGAAACCTTTGAGGGGATGAAAATACCTAACGACCGACTAATTCCTTATGCAGGGACTCTAGTGGGTTTTGCAGGAGACCAGGTCATCGCAAGGGGATACGCCGATCTGGAGACGACCTTTGACCAAGGAGCTCACATGAAGACGGTGGTCGTTCAGTATTTGGTGGTCGATGCAAATCAAACGTGCCTGTTGGGGTTGGGTTGCAGAATGGGGGTTGGGGTTGAAGTACATGTTTGACTGTTTGTTTGTAGAATTGAATTTGAATTTTATTTTAAGTAAATAACATGAATTTTATATGGATAATATCTATTAAAAAATGATTTTGACACATTGTTTGAAAACTTATAACTAGAAATGATTTTACGGGTGAAATTATCAAAAATGGTTTTGCAAAATAAAAGCTGTGATTATTATTATTTTCATGTGAAAAACTGATATTGTAATTTGTAACAATGCAATGGTAGTCAAAATTAGGATATTTATACATTTGTTATTTTATTTACAGACGAAAGTTTGCATGACAGATGTATTTATTACATATAACGAATTAAGCCTCCTTGTTTAGAAATTAGTTAAGCTGAACGCGATTGAGGTTAAAAAATATTATATTTACAAGTTTTGCTTTTATTAGAATGTGTGCTTTTCCGTTTTTAAATCGGTAGTTAAGCATATACATAATCTCGTACTATAGAGAAAAGGGAAAGAAAAAAAGAAATAAAATTGATAGAGAGTGAGTGGGAGTGGTGTTTCTCCTTCCATATTCCTTTTTAGCTGAAAGAAAATCATCTTATGAAAAGAGTAACGATAAACAACATATGGTAAGAATAGGGTATGTATGGAATAACGGTGATGGACTCATGTCATAGTGTATCCATAAGCTAATCTAAATAGCTTTATCCACAAAGTCTTTTTTTCTTTCTTTCAATTCCACCATGATTTTTTTCTAATTGAAGTTAATTTTCTTTTATCAAACATCTAAATTTTGAGTCAAACTATGTTTGTCCTAACTCATAGTTTTGCAACCAAACCAAAGTTGACCAGAGGGTTGAAAAATGGGACAACTGTACTGAGCCCATCATTGGTAGGCCCAAAAATAAAAATACAATTCTAATTTTTTAGACGAACAATTACTTCTTTAATGTTAGTTTTTAGTTTTTTCTTTTCTTGTTCAGCTTTTAATTACTAAAACACAAATTCTAAATTTTAACAGATTAAATATTTAGTCTTCCCTAAAACATCAAAGAAACTTTCATCTTTTTCTAAATTTGTAAATACATTTTTTTTTCTATATAGAAGACATAAAACTTAAAAGCGAATTACTTTTTTACATATCAAATTATAAAGGGTCCTTATAATAAATGTTTTGTTCCACAAGTGATGACCACTACAACAATTTTAGAGAACATATTTTATTGATGATAAAAGATAGTATAGGAGTTTATTAAAACAATTAATACATATTTTTTAAACATTTGTTAAATTATTGTTCATATAGTGTAAAAAATGTATTATTTTATTGAAATTACATGCTTATTTTTTATATAATATATACTTAAATTTAAAAATATTTATATATAAGAAGCCTTATCTATTGTATTGTCTTGGACCCACAAAAATATTGGGAATAATTTTGCTTACTCACGATAATATTATTTGACTTGAATATATTGATTCCAAATTAAACATACATGACCTATACGAAAATTAGATTAGTAAACAAAGATAGTGTTGATTATGACTCAAAATTTATTGTATCATTTGTATACTTTGTAGTTTTTCGTCTATACAATTTTATAAGTTTTAATCCATTTCAATTTGTTTGATGGGTTCAGACTGTCTTTTTATAAGATTTAGTACTAGAGTTTTGCATATATATATATATATGTGTGTGTGTGTGTGTGTGTGTGTTTAAGGATCATCCTTAAGTGTGTGTATGTGTTTAAAGATCATTCTTAAGTGTGACATAAAAAGAAAACGTGAAAAGCAAAGGTGTTAAGTGTGAACACAAAAGAATTGAAAGAGGGAAAGAAAAAGAGAACCAATTAAAGAGATAAAGGAATTTATGAGAAAAACAAAGAGTTTGTTCTATTATAAAAACTTGATCTTAATTTCTAGATAGTGGAATATGCTCTCTCATGTGAATGTAGATCAAATTAGATGAACTATGTAAATCTGTTGTATTTTTTTATCTCAATATTTTTCATTTTGTTTTTACATTTTTTTCTTCATTTATGTTTTTCATTCTTGTTGAATTTTCTCGTTTTTACGTTTTTGGTTTGTTCTTGTATAAGATTTGTTTTTTTTCTTCTTGTTTTAAAACCAATAAATAGAGTTAAAAATTTTGCTCAAAGGAGGCTTAAAAAAATAATTAACACTCATATATAGACATCTTTTATTCATCTATTTATCATGTTATATATCAATCTTATCTATTTTTTTTCCTTTTTTTAATTAAGTGTCAATTAACATAATAATTTTAATTTACCAATTTTAATATTTTTTTCGTAAATTTTAGGAAGGCCAAAAAATATTTTAGTAGTAATTTAAATGCATTTAGTAAAAGAAAAGGGGGGGCTCCTCCTCTGCCCCTGCTTATAAATTCTCAATATATGATATTTGGTTAGATAGAAATTTTTTAAAGGAAAAATTAAGAACTTTTTTATAATTCTATATTTTAAAGTTACGAAAATACTCTTCTAAACTGGTATTGTATTACGATGAAAACACACATAATCAAAGTACATATATAGCTTCATCCAATGATCAGATATTAAACTGTAAAACATCTCAAAAGTTATACTGTAGCAATTCGCAGTACTTTAATCACAGTGAAACTGAATAGTAGCACAATATGACATCCTCACTTTTTTCTTATATTTTCTGGGAGCTTATAGTGTAGCACACTCACAAGTCACTAGCCACCAATATGAATGGGGTTAGTGGTCACTAGTCATTAACATTGAACCTAGCCCAATGCAGATTTTAGTCGACAAAATAGTGTTTCATAATTAATTGTTAGTACATTGAACATCCATAACCAATTCCCGAACTTAAATTAATAATTTCATTAAAGTGTCACAGCATTCTTTCATGGCAGCTCCGTAATGATTAATGATTGTGTCGTTTTACACAAAAAGTCACTAATTAAAATCCTTATATAATTATACTGTACTATTTTAAACGATAATTAATGGTTTTGGTTTCTCAAATGTTTATGCCCCAACCTTTTGTTTACGTGTGTGCATACGTAAAAGCTAAAAAGCCTTTATTTTTTTTATTGTTGACCTAATCAAATTTGATTTGGACACAAACATGAATAATTTGATAGAGGAAATGATAAGGTTGTCCCTGAAGCTGCTGAGTGGATTCCCTCGTGGGTCATAGTATACTGATTCTGTGAAGACAACGACAATCTGCAAAACAAACAAAGTGTTTTTGACTTTGTTTAACACTACTTGCTCGCTTTCCACCAAATGTGAAAGTAGAAAATTGGCGAATTGAGTTTCAACATTGTTTTCAAGGAAATACAAACACGCACTAAACTTTGTGTATAACATAGTAAACGACGAACGGACAAAACCATGTTGAAACTTAAACTCTAAATCCTAAATTAGAAGGATTAAAGCAACGATCATCTTAGGTCATAAATTAATTTAGGCTTTAAAAAATTCATATATTTTTTAAATAATTATGTTTTATCCATTTGAATTATTTGAGAATAACTTTTATCATGAGATGATATATTATATGGTTATATTACTATTTTCATCAATAAAATATCTTAGTCATATGAAAACATAATGGTGAGTTACGATCATTTAATATTTTAAAAATTGATTCAATAAAATATAGACATTCTGACATAATTATTACGAGATTATAACAATAAATAAGATTTAAATAGGGTATTATTTCATTTATGTAACATTAAATAAGCACGCAACACATGACAAATGATAACAACAATATTTTAGACAATGTTACTACACAAATTTACAAAATTCTCCCAAAATGGACAAAACCTACATTACTTATGATAATTGACATTGTATGTCAATATTAATTGAACAAATATTGTATTCCTACCAATTAACTTAAAGGACTAAATGTTGAGCTAAGCTAAGAAACAATCATATTGATACAGTTACACTATTGATGAATTTTACCTTTGAAATTTGACACTTAATAAGTTATGATTTGTAGTGAATAGTATTTGCTTGACCTATATAGAAGATAAATGAGCTATCCACTCAATATAATTATATAGTCTCTTACAACATAGTTAATTGTCTTTGCTTTGTAAGCAAAAATTTGGAGATTTTAATTTGTACAAGCTTATAATATCTATCTGACTAAGGATAATGGTGGATCACTTTTCTAACACCTACTCCCCTATTCTTTATTATAATAAGAAGACACATTTTTTCTTCTTAAATATGAGAAAATTTCAATTATTTTTATCTTATTTAATGATAATCTTCATAAAATATTCATCTTTTAATGTATAGTTTTTTTTATTCTACTTTTTTATATATTTGTAATAAGAAAAATTTAAGAAAAATATTATGAGAATAGTAAAACTTAATGCAAATAATTAAATTTTTTATATGTATAAAATTATTTTTTTATAATAAAAAATAGAGGAAATATTAATAATCATTTATTAAGTATAATTTTTTTATGAGATTAACAACTCATATTATAATTGCTTATTAATATTATTAATGAGATAACTCATAATTGTCCATCAAGTCATGATAACCACTGTATCATGACTATTAAAAATTGAAGAAACAGTAAAATATAACTCAATTTTTTTAGTGCATGTATATCCTTTTGACAAAGATAACTCACTTATAATTTTTTTTATAATTAATAAAAATAAGATACATGGTCCATTTAATATTATTAATTATAGTTTGATCTAATCAAGTATTACAACTCGGATTAACCGAATATAATAAAGGATAACTCGAATAAATGATCTATATAAATAAGATTATGAAGAAACGGTTATTAAGTTTTTTTTTTTTGTGGTATCTACCAAGTCTTAAATAAATGGTTATAAAACATGAATAAAAATTAATTTGTCAGAGTATATTTTGTAGGTACATTAAACAAAGAAAGAGAGAAAGAGACATTTAGGATAACTAAGATATTTTTAACCCCTACAAATTTAGCAAGTTTTAATTTTGATTTTTGTAATTTTTTTTTTAATTTTTCAACCCTCTATAATTAGCCTTATTATTTTTAATTTTTATTTTTTATGTGATCATTTAAGCAACTCTTTATTTATTGAAAGGTTAAGTACCATCCTAAATATTATCCATGCCTATTATTAATATCATGCTAGTGTTTGAATTTTTTTAAATAAATTTTTAAAATAAATTTTATTTATCTATCATTAAATAACTGGTAGTGATGAAAATAATAACTTTATACTTTAAAAGAAAAAATAAAACAAATATTTTATAAAAATAGAAGCTAAAATTTAATCGAACTAAAAATATTGTTTATAAATAAAAAAATAAAAAAATATTTTTTTATAATAATTTAAATCAAAATTCACTCATTAACTATAAGTTTCTTTTATCGATTAATTTATATTGCTGCTTATACTACCAACTTTAATTTCAGTGTTATAAATATTTTTTTATAATAATTAAAATATTGTTACAATAATTAAAATCAAAACTCACTCATTAATCATAAGTTTTATTTTTTTTTTAATTTTTTTTATCGATTAACTTATATTGCTGCTTATACTACCAACTTTCAGTGTTATGAACATTATTTATTTATTTTTTTTATAGTTTAAAAAGCTTACTTTAATTGGAGGAAGAGGAAATATCTGGGGTATTTATAATGACAAAAAGGAAAGCTACTGTGTAAGCGTGAGCATAATAATTACGCACTCTGCAATACTTTTTCTGGTAGCTGTATGGGATCCATTTCCGAGTCAAAGAGATTGTGCATCTGTGCTTCACTGCTTTATACTATGTTCGAGCCTCGTGAGCCTTTAGATCACTTGCAAGAATTTGGAATCATAGAATCAGCTTTATAACTTAAAATAATAAGCCACTCAATGGAACCCTACTTTCTTGTCTAATCTTTATGCAAAATCATCTATATTAAATTTAACGTGATTTAAACTTTTTTTTTATTTAATATTTCATATTATAAGTTAAAATAATGAGATAAATTATTAATTAATTTTTGAATTATGTAAAATTTGGTATGCATAATTTTAAGTATAATATCAAATATTTTAACAGTTTAATTTGTCTCAAAGGATTTGACTTATATATTATATGCACACCTATAAAACATTTTTTACAAATTTTTTTTCTTCTCATGGCTGACTTATGATATTATAAATTAAAAATTTTATCGAACAAGCATGTAATTAATTTAATATGATATAGTAAAAATGAGAAATTGCGCATTGGCCCTTGACATCCACGACTCGTCGTTATCTATTAGTATTTCCTTATTTCAGTGTAAGGAAAGAAAGAAATAGTATAATAGATATAGCTAAGAAGCTGTGTCCGAGTGAACGAGAAAAAGACCCTTCTTCTCCACTCCACCTTCTCTCTCGCTCGCACCAATTCCTCAACCCTAACGTTACTCCTCTCCTCAAGCAACCGCCATGGCCGTCGTTTCGCGCTGTGCCACGTGCTCGCGCCACACCTTCATACCACACGAGTTCGATAGAAGAACCACCGTTGCCGCCGCCAGCAGCTTCTGCTACTCTCCCAAGAAAGCTCCGCAGAGGATTGTGGCCGGGAGTACACGTGGCAGTAGAGTGATTGTTGCTGCGAGTCCTCCCACCGAAGACGCACTAGTTGCTACTGAACCACTCACCAAGCAGGATCTCGTCGATTATCTCGCCTCCGGTTGTAAGCCCAGGGACAAATGGAGGTTCCGTGTCGTTTTCTATTTTTATTCGTCGTTTTTTAACGTCTGATTTGATGTATCGTTGTTTAACGTGATTTTATGTGCTCTTTCTCTTTGCATGTTTGGATTGGGATTTTGTCGATTCATATTAATTGTGCTCCTTCAGTTCACTTATAACTGTTAGTGGATCTTTGAAGTCGTTGTACAAGAGTAGAGACACTCTGCATAGTATAAACTGAAACAATTAGGTATAAGTGATTTATTATTATTTAAATTAATAACTAATAAGTCATTTGATTGAATTATCAATAGTCTCAGAGTACCGTTGGCAGAATTATATGAAGTTGGCTCAGGGTCTGGTGGATGTGTGTAAGTGTAATTATTAAAAGATGAGTGAAATTGTCGTTCCAACCAAGGTTTTAAAAACGGTCCGATTGTAACGTCAAGGTTTTTGGAGTCTTCGTGACCACAATTGCAGTCACATCAGCTGCATTTGGCCATAGTTTTCTGTACTATCAAGGATTGCAATGAAACAGTAGCCATGACCGCCATTTAAAACCTTGATTTCAACCGTTTTAAATGTAAAAAAGAATCGAAATGCTTTAACTGCTGAAAAAGAGCCACACTCTAGCAATGCCCATAGGACATATTATTAACAGTTATTGTTGTTGTATTATTCTTCTGTCTAACTTATTAATACTTGGCATAAAGTAGGGAACAAATGTTGATTATGAAGTTTTCTGAAGAAACATAAAATGGCACGAAAATGCTTTTCTAAAGTCATAGATAAAGCTGGACAGAGGAACATGTTACTGAGGTCTCATTTGTTTTTCATTGGGAGACCTTTTACCTTGTCCTTTTTGCCATATTTGAGTTTGTGTTTTTAAGTAGTTTATATAGCACCTGATTAGGTTTCTTGAAGGTTTAAATTTGAACTGACTCTTACTGTGATAACTAGTTTGTGTGTCTATAGGTGGTTAATTTATTCATGTGGTCTTGCAGAATAGGTACTGAACATGAGAAGTTTGGTTTTGAGTTTGGAAGCTTGCGTCCTATGAAGTATGAGCAAATAGCAGAATTGCTGAATAGTATTTCTGAGAGATTTGACTGGGATAAAATAATGGAAGGTGATAAAATTATTGGACTTAAACAAGTAAGTTAACATTTGCATGAACAAGAATGTCAAACATTTTCTTTGAGATGTACAATTTAATTCATATGTTAAAATTACAATGCTATGTTATTGTTGAAGATTGAAGTTTTTCTGCACACTATGTGAACCAGGGGAAGCAGAGCATATCATTGGAGCCTGGTGGTCAGTTTGAACTTAGTGGAGCCCCTCTTGAAACCTTGCATCAGACTTGTGCTGAAGTTAATTCGCACCTTTATCAGGTAAATCACACATACTTGTTACGGACATCAACTAATCTTTTACACAATCATATTTTCTTAATTTTAATATGTATAATCATTACCGGTATGGTCATTCAACTTGTCTTTGTAAGTTGTGACATAATAGATAGCTAACTTATAATACTAGTTGGTTATGTTTGATGTTTCTGTTATCTGACAACTGACCTTATTTCCATATACTTGTGTTTATAGGTTAAAGCTGTTGCCGAGGAAATGGGAATTGGATTTTTGGGGATTGGTTTCCAGCCAAAGTGGGGAATCAAAGACATACCTATAATGCCAAAGGTAGTTTTTTTCTTTCTTCCTGTCTTTCAAGTTCTTGAACTGTTGAACACTTGCTGATATTTCTGCTTAAAAATCTTGCTCAGATGTCACTTGCTAACTTTTTCTGTTATAACTTACCCAATCCTTTAAATAGATGACACCATCTGTTTTTAGTCAACTTTTCATGGATTTGGCTGGGTTTTCTGATTTCATGACTAGCCATACCTATTCATTAACTATTATAGTTGTTAAGTGGCAGTTATGGTGGAGCTTAAAGGAATAGTGTGGCAGTTTTGATGCCCACTGCCACTTGCTTCCTGCTTTGCGGCTCTTTCTGTCATTTCATGTTTTGCGGCTGTCATAGCTGATGTGGACCTTATTTTATTAAATCATTTTTTTAAAGAGTTTCAAATAGGGTTTCTCATGGGCTGATTGCCTCTCATCATCTATCTCCACCACCTGCTGGCAGTTCCAACTCTGGCAAGCCACACTATGGCAACCACTGTAGTTAAATCTCTCCCCCCAAATCCCATTTTCTTTTTCATCTCTTCTGTTATTTTGTCAGTTCTTGTCACCATCACTTTTTTTCTCTCCCTCTTTCAGTTTTTTTTTTTTCTTCTTCTCTGTTTTTTCTTAAGTTTATGTCACCATTTTTTTCTCTCTCCATTTCTGTTTTTATTGTTTTTTCTTTTATCTGTTTTTTCCCTTCATCATCTCATTTTATCCTTCTCATTAGCATTGCTATGAGATTTTATGCTTATGTTATTAGACTTGATGAATTTTATTTCATAGAATATGTTTCTAATTTTTGTTATGTTTATCTATGTTATTGGGTTTTATTATTTATTGTACTTAGTTTCTTTTGTATTTTTTAATTCATCTGCCATGCTTGAGCTAGTTGCCTGCAATGCCATCCGCCATGATGTTTGGTGGAGTTTTGGTTTTCTGCCATGGAATGCCATCTGCAATTAATTACATTATTAACTATAATGACTAGAGATTATTGTTACAACCCTTTTTCTTTCAGATTTGGATATTACTAGTTTAAAGTACGGATCTACAGAATTCTCCACGGGGATTGATAGCTTAATTTGTAATTGAATGAACAAATATCCTTCTTTTAGGGAGTGGATGGATTTTGCAATTTATACTATTACATACTTTTTCCTCTATGCTAAGTCACATTGTGTGATAAATGCATTAACTGTGCCATTTTTATCTGCTTATTATACTATAGTTGCTTTCGACTGAAAATTACAAATTTATGTTTTTTCTATTGGTATTGACGCACATACTTATGGTTATGTAGTAGGCCTACTTTTATAACCATTAGTACTTCTACACCAGAAATATGGTTATACCAGAGGTCATTGCTGCATTTCTTTATTAGTGATAAACCTTGTTTTTCAATGTTCTATCAATGGTCTCTGTTTGTGTTTTTTTTTATTTCTTTTTTATTATGTTATGTAGCAAGTGATGCTTGGGGAGTTCTGTTAGCAGGCCTCATTCTTTGTAATAAATGATGGTTCTTTCATGACCTTTTGTGGTTCAATTACCTGTTTTCTGATGCTGTGTTGTTGCACAGGGAAGATATGAAATTATGAGGAATTACATGCCCAAAGTTGGCTCTCTTGGGCTTGACATGATGTTTAGGACATGCACTGTACAGGTGAGATATGTGGTGAAAAGAGTATCTTATGACACAATATTATAGTCAACTCTCATACTGGATAGTAATATATTTTAACGTTCACTGTTATAGGTCAATCTAGACTTTAGTTCTGAAGTTGACATGATCAGGAAATTTCGTGCTGGTCTTGCTTTGCAACCTGTAAGAAATGTTAATTTCTGACACTATTATTAGGGGATTTGTTCGGTACTTTTTGATGTAATTAGTGTTATCTTTATGACAGATAGCAACTGCTCTTTTTGCTAATTCACCCTTTAAAGAGGGGAAGCCAAATGGTTTTGTCAGTATGAGAAGGTACATGGAAGTACTCATGCAGTCATTTCCTTTCACACTTTGCACTGTTAAGATGCCTTATACACTTTTCATTTGCTTGGAACAGCCATATTTGGACTGATACTGATAAGGACCGCACAGGCATGCTGCCTTTTGTTTTTGATGACTCTTTTGGGTAAGAGATTGTTTTTGAATTTTGAAGAATTAAGATTGAAACTGTTAGGGGGTGTTTGGTAGGGGTATTCTTTTAAAATTTCCACGAATCCTGGGTTGGTAATGTTAAATTCCTGTTTGGTATGAGAATTTTAAGAATCATTCCCAAGAATCTAACTTTCCCAAAACTTCCCCATGGGAGAGGGTGAAAATCCAAGATTCTCATGAAAGGAGAAAGTATATATATATATATAATTATGTTTCTCATTCCAGGAATATTTTTATAAGTTTTTTTTATACCAAATGCCCCCTTATTTCTAAGTTTTCTGACTCTAGGCTTCATTGGTTTCATCCTTTTGCCTATTCTGTTATCCTTCATATTGACTGTCCAAAATACATGTATTTGGAAATATACTCATTGAATGACTGGGGTATATAAACGTTTAACATTTAAGAACCCAAATGCCATCTAGATATAAAGAGTTATATGCCGATTTCCCTTAAACTACTTTTGACCATATATATATATATATATATTTTTTATTTTTATTTTTATTTTTTTTGGGGGGGGGGGTTTAAGTGACAAAATTGTGGGCCTCTTTTCTACTTATGTGTGATAATATGAATTTTGCACATTTTTCCCTCCCTCTGAAGTGTCTGAAGCACCTTATATGCACACCATTCAACTTATTCCTTGATTTTTTGAGTGTATTTTTTTCTTTTATTTGTTTATTATGATGTTCTTCTATGACCTTTTTAACTCATTGTTTGAACTTGAGATACAAGGTGCTAATAAACTGAATGGTGTACTTAAATGGAGATTTTCAAACACTAGTTATCTTATTTTATTTTATTTTTTTATTTTGAAGAAAAAGGACTACCCATGAAGACTTTAGGGAGACTAAAGAATATAAAGAAAAAAATCACTAAATATAGAATATGATTTATTGTTTTACTTATGCTTATTGAATTTAGGGGGGTAGATTTAGGGGAAGATAGAACAGATTATTCTGGAGAATGAGAACGCATTATTATTCAAGAGAATGTAGTATGCAGGTTCTGCATATCATCCAAATATATAGACTCTAGAGTCCTGATAGACTTAATGGAGACTATTTCCTTGGATAATATTAATCGAGTGCAACTCCCTATAAACTAATACCCATGAACAATAAATGCATTTTTTCATGTGATACATCATACACAAACATGCTATTTCCTATGTGCATTAACTATTATTATTTCAACAATGTTGTATTTACCTTTAGTAACTGTCATTCTTATGAAGTTAAAATTCAGATGATGTATTATTTTAGGTAATAGTTCACTTGAAATAAAGATTATTATTGTACTGTGTTATCTCAACATGATGAATTCTTTTCTTTATTTTTTTACAGTTTTATCAATGTTATTTCATGCAATGAAATGATTTGGTTAATTGTTTTTCTTCCAACTTTCTGTTTGCAGGTTTGAGCAGTATGTTGACTATGCTCTAGATGTTCCTATGTATTTTGTCTATCGGAAACACAGATATATTGACTGTACTGGAAAGACCTTCAGGGTTCTCATCTATCTTTAAAATTCTCGTAATCTAAGGCTATCTATTATAACCCTGCAATTCTTTATTGCAAAACTTACTTTTCTTAACCACAGTATACATGTAATTTTGATTTGTTCAACGTACAAAATTGATTATTTTTTTATTACAGGATTTCTTGGCTGGAAGACTTCCTTGTATTCCTGGTGAATTTCCAACTCTCAATGATTGGGAAAATCACTTGACAACTATATTTCCTGAGGTTAGTTATTATAGGTTTCACAATTTAACTGTTGTCTTTTGCTTTGCAATGAATTTGTAGCATTTTCCTAGTTTTGTTATTATAAACCATTATTCTTTTCAGGTCAGGCTGAAAAGGTATTTGGAGATGAGAGGTGCTGATGGAGGGCCATGGAGAAGGTTATGTGCTTTACCAGCACTTTGGGTGAGTGGGCTTTTTACTTCTTGTGCATGATGTTTGTAGTCACTTAGCCTCTGACATTTGGATTGTTCACTGTATTATTTGCCTTCACACTCACCATCAAATTGGTATCATAGAGTGTAAACATTAAACACAGACATGTTAAAGTTGGGATTGTGATTAGGGATGAAAATAGAGTAGGTCTTAAATAGGGGCCTATGACTTGACCTATTTAAAGTTTAGTCTGGTCTAATCTATTTAATAAAAAAGTCAGTTTTAAGGCTTTTAAAAAAACTTATTTATTTAAACAAATTGAATTTAAGCTTATAAAAATGCCTCTTAAGTCTATCTATATGATATAATATAAAAAATAATATACATATTATATTATTAACAATATAATTACATAAATAAATTTGTAACATTAAAAAAATTAATTTATCAATATTTTTTTTTATATTTTCACTACACTTAACATTTTATGTTTCCGGTTCATATGAAATAAAAAAATAGAAGATAGAAAAATCTAACAGCTGCATCTTCGTGAGTTCTTTTCCTTCGTCTTCATAATTAGTTATTTAGAATATTCCAAATAGGATATAAGGAATGTTTAGAATTTTTTTGTTTTATAAGATTATCTCTTCATTTCATCTGTGTGAGAGTGTGCGTGTACATGAGTTGTCTCTCTTACATTAGTTTATTTTAAACTCTAATTTTTTATAATAACAGAGTAAATTATCTTTTTATCATGCAAATTAAAAAAAAGAAGCTCGCACATGTATTTAAAAATAAATTTGATGGTTTATTTAAAATTAAGTTTATTGGTCTATTGAATATTGTTAATGTAAAATAAGTTTTTAAATAAACTAATACATCAGGTTAGTCTTTTAAAAAGGTCAGATCAGACTAATAAGCTAGACTTAAATTTTAATTTTATAGGACAAGACTAACTTGACCTTACTTATCCTCATCCTTAATTGTAACTTCTTCTTGGAAGTGCAATCTAATGTTTATTGTCTTACAAAAGCAAAAGGAATAATGTTTTCAATAATAATTGTTTGAAATTTTTTTGTCATGTATTTTTTGTTATTCAATGCTTGGTTGCATGCTCTTCGTCCAACATACAAACTGCTTCAATTTAGTAACATGAGCCAACTGTAATTTTTCTGATTGTGTCATCAGGTAGGGTTATTGTATGATGATGTTTCTCTACAAAGTATTTTGGATTTGACAGCTGATTGGACAACCGAAGAAAGACAAATGTTAAGGAATAAGGTAGCATCCTTAATAACACTGTTTTCATTTCTATTGCTATTAGTCAACCCAGAAGCATAAGTTGTTAGGTTCAGTACCTGAAATGAATTATGTTTTTATTAATCTCTGACACGTCCCCTCATGCAAAATTGCTTTGGGCTGGAAGAATGGGCTAAGCACAAGGTTGCTACTTTGTGCTGAAATAGAATTAGAAGGAGGGGATAAGTGGGGACTGAAATCTTGTCTTTGATCATCTGATCAAAGTGGCTTTTATCCTTGTCTAGGTACTTTAAGTTAGGCGTAAACCTGAAAGAAGGATAAGGGATCTGTCTTAGTTTTTACATGTTCTTTATTAGGTTCTTGAATTTTAGATGGCTAAATATCACTTGAAACATATAAGAGAAAGTATTGCTTCTCTGATTTAAGTCCTTTACTCTCGCACACGAACACGAACATGCATGTATATACAAATATATACTGAAATTAAGCCTATAATTTTTCTTATTTCTCCATGAGGACTGGATATGGCATAACCTGGGGTCAGAAGTTGATAATTATTTGGCAGTTTATATTTCAGCAGTGGTCATTATTCATACTAGTTGTCTATACTAACCATTGGAGTCTGTGACAGGTTCCTATAACTGGTCTTAAGACACCATTTCGAGATGGTTTGCTGAAGCATGTTGCTGAAGATGTTCTAAAGTTGGCAAAGGTAAAAGGTGTCATTATTTTGTAATTGTTATTTTCAATGTTGCTAAGAGCATTGGGGGTACATCCACAGGATGGCTTGGAGAGAAGAGGCTTCAAGGAATCAGGATTTTTGAATGAGGTTGCCGAGGTGGTTAGAACAGGTAATGAATTTATGTTAAATAGATGCATCTACCACAACCTTTCCATGCATCTACTGGCCCTACTTTGTTTCATTCCCTTATTTTGGTTAGATTGAAACATTCACAATTTATATGAAGCAGATTGGAACAAATGTTCTGCTATCTAATTGAACATTCTTAGGGTTTAGTTAAAGTGACCATGAGTTACAAAGTCTTTGCTTCTATTATTTGTGGTTGGGCATTTTAGTGATTATATGATGGAAGGAGGCAAGTGAAGTGAAGCTTGATCTTCCTTTTCCTTCTCCACTAACACGGATCTTCTTCCTTGAACAATGATTCCGGATTGAAGTAGGATTTGAGAGCAAGAAAAGGTTGAATTCCTAAGCTAAGATGGAAGTATCCTAGCTAGAAACTCAAAGCAAAGCCCACGGACTAAGCTTAGAATTTAGGATTCCTAAGGCTAAGGCTATGGACTTTTGAGAGAGACTTGGCTAAATGAATTTTCAGAAATCTTAATTATGATTCAGAGTGTCTACAATTGAGAGGAAACATGAATATATAGGCCACGGATCCAAGGAAAATGGCGCCAACTCCTAAGGCTTTTACTAATTCTTTTTAAATAAATAGATAATATGCACTAACACTGAAAAATCGTTTTACATTATTATTCAATTACAAATAACTATTTATGATTATTTTTATAATAAATAAGTAAAAAAATTATACTAACGATGATACTTAATCAATTAATGCAATATTATTAAATTTTTCTTTTTTATTGAATAGTTGTAAATTCTTCTCGATCAGAAGATAAAGATTAATTTCTTCATTAAATTTTTCTTAAGGGATTGATATATTCAAGAAAAATTAAGTTCTTTAAACATAAACCAAAATATCAAGATCATCATCACATATTTAAGAGGTGTGATTATTCATTGCCAACCACGGTTTTAACATATTAATGTTTTTTTTTTATTATCAAACATTCCATATTAATGTTAATGAATGTTCTGAAAAATAATGCTCAAAGAAACAAAGTTATCAAGTATTTGACGGAAAAGTATTTATTGTATTAAAAATGTATTGTTAGTGCTTATTTTTTAAACAATGAAAACCATGAATCGTGTTTCTGACACATTCATTTATGTAAAAATCATAGTAAGAAAGTTTGAGAGGACAGATGACTTTTCATTAAAAATGTTAAGAGTGGAAGGAAAAGCTTTTTAACTTTGTAGTACCATCATGACTGATAATTTTCATGCTTTCACATGTGTTCTACGATAACTGTTACGTTTCCAATTAGATTAAATTTAATCCTAGAAAGGTGGATTAGTGCTCGATCCACATATAGCATGATTGTAACATCCAAAACAAAGATATAAATAAGATAGTATATATAGTGTAGTACATAAGATGAAACTGACATGGTTAACTAATCCGGGGTTTTAATCCACATATTTTTGTTGTTGTTGCCGATATTAATTAATCATCAATTATAATAAGTCGTTCTTTCCACGAGTGCCATTATATTGAATTGAATTATCTCCAAAAGGTGGTTCAAAGAAACTGCCAAGTTGGTAGGGCCAGGTAGGCATATAAATAAGTAGCACAAGACCATTTCTAATTCCACAGACGCACACAACACAACACAACACAACTTGTTCTCTCAAACACAACAATGGCCAAGGTTTACCCTCAGGAACCCTCATCTCCTCAGTGTCTCACATCTGAAAGAGAAACATACACTCTATGGTTGAAATCACTTGTCTTCCACTCCAATGGATGCACAGTTTACGACTCAAATGGTGACATCGTTTATCGAGTTGATAACTACGACAGAAAGGGTAGAAGAGAAGTTAACCTCATGGATCTACGAGGCAAAGTTCTCTGCACCATAAAGAAGGTACAAGCTAGTTAAATGCTACATCAAATATATGCTAATAATGGCTTAACCAAGCCATTGTATTGTATATATGACTTGATCATAGGATGATGATGATTATTGATTTCAATTAATTAACCTCTTGCTTTTAACTAAATTATGCAGAGATTACTAGCTTTTGGATGTTGGGATGGCCACAGATGCATCAATTCTAATTTTGGTAGCCAGGAACAACCATGGTTTCGAGTTAAAAGATGCAATCAAATGATCAAAGGGAAAGTAGCTTGCCAAATTTCTGTGGGGTGTCAGAGGTACAACATAGTAAAAACCAGTGGCAAAACAGAAGCATTTAGAATAGTGAACATGGATGGACAAATAGTTGCCGAGGTAATTATCCAATATCCATCTTTTACTAATATGATTTTCCAATCATATAATCGAGTAATTAATTAATTGATTGAATTTGTAACTTGGTATTAATGTTAATTTTGAAAATTGTGCAGGCAAAGCAAAAACACTCACCCTCAGGAGTTGTACTGAGTAACGATGTTCTAACGTTGGATTTGGCTGAATTCAAATTCAAATTTGAATTCAAATTTTGGACGTCCACTCATCCACCCATGTGCAGCCATCCTTTCTAGAATCCTAATTACATTTAAGTGTAATTTAGGGTTCATTTGATTAGTCAGATGTGCAGCCACCCTTGGCACAAATCATGCGACTCAAATGAAACTCAAATTATTCTTAAATGTAATTACAACTCTATGATTCATGCCTAATACTTGTTCCCCTTAAATTCTTATTCTAATGGCCTAAATACAATGGCCAATCAAATACAATGAAAAGGAAAAATTACAAGAATGAAAATGAGCCCAATATTGGTACCAAAAACCCAAAGGCCCATGAAATCCAAAACTATGCCCAATAAGCCTAAAACCCAAAAAGTCCTATACTAAGGTCTATAATACAAGACCAAACAATATGAAATCCTACACTACCAAATATATAAGAAAGGTGGTCATCCATGTAAAGCCCAAATGAAGAGAACTCTAGGCCCACCAGGCCCATTGGGCCCACTAAGCTCTGAAGCAGTCAAATCTTCAAGTATCTTCCTTGTCATAGTTCTAGTAGTTGGACCTTTGGTCCATGCTCTTCCATCATCATATGAAGCAAACACTCAAAGAAAGAGCCTTATCTTTGTTATAGACCATACAAATTTCTAATGTGACGCCAGACTCTGCATCCTATCAAAATGAAACTATTTGAAATCTTCTGTTTCTCATGCTTTCATTTGTTCCAAGCCTCTTCCCTTTCCATACCATGCATAGTTTTTTTAACATCTGAACTTTGACCCGTTAATTTTAGTTTGTAATTGTATAAATAATATTGTCATTGATTATACGGAGTTTTTGCAGTTTATTTACTAGTCCAAATTATCTTTTGGCTCCTCATTTTCTATGTTAAAATATATGTTTGGTCTCTATATGTGACAAATCTTCTATTCAACCAAATGTTAATGTCAGTATGTTAATTTAGCTATAAATACATTGGCATCTAGAATTGGGCTATTACGCAAGTTTATGCCAAATTTTCAATTGCTTTTCATATAGACCCGAGTTTTATACCTATACACCTTTAACCGGATTTTCTTTACTATGCCATACTCTCGTGTATTCTGCCTCATCATGCTTTCTTGTTTTCATGAAAGGTTTTCTCTGTTTTGTAAATTCTGACTACTGATCTTTGTGGTGGCAGGTGTTACTCCAGCTGAGAGGCTTTTGGAATTGTATCATGGAAAGTGGGAGCAATCCGTAGATCATGTGTTTGAAGAATTGCTTTATTAAGGTTGTATTATCTCAACATGTCAGTGGATGATTAATTGTGTAATCCTTTGGTTATAGTTCTGGTTGTCTCTCTCATGAGCTTCATTTAGATTTAGGAAATAATTTACATGTAATTTTTGCCTTGAGGCTTCTCATATACCTTTTTTGGAAACATGATCTGATCAAGCTGACATAATTTAAGTTACAAGTTTCAAAATCCATCAGCATTAACATTTTTTTCTTATTTCTAGACTCGGACTCATTCAGTGACTACTTTTATTTTTAATTATTTCTTACTAGTATTAGTATTTTACGTTATTGTTAGTTTTCCACTAATTTGTGCTCCATTTGAAAGATATATATTGACCAACCAAAATATTGTAACAAGTGATTACAAGTCAGCCGGCATATGATAGGTCCTTTTGATATTTCAGCTTGGTTGCATGCTCTTTGCAAGTAGTTCTTACTTTCAAATCATAACATCTATCAAGAACAGTAGTTTAGTATGGGACAGAATACACAATACCCCGGTGAGCTTCTGAATGTACCTCGAGTGAGTGAGCGTGAATATCTTAAAATGCAAAGAGTTGGAGAATGGAGGAGTGAACTAGGTAGAGGTGGGAGATTTCTGTGGATAAAGCATTCTGTCTGAATCCATATTAAATTAGAATTGATGGGCTACCTTATTCACTTGTCCCATGTCTTGAAAACCATATATTCAACAGCCAATCTCTTTTATACATATGCTAGTGTGTATTTGAATTTGATGTTTCACATTCACAGATTTAACCCATTTTTAAGAGAGAAAAATTTGTTTATATTCATGTTCTCTCGTTAGTAATATCAATGAAAATCATATCACAGTTTTACTTTTAGGTTATTTTTTAAACAAGATTTTGAATATTCACTGAAAGTTAACAAACTGTCTTTTAGCTTGAATTTTATTTTATTTTATCTTTAGTGATTAGGTTAATTACCAAACGATTATTACACAGCTTATTTTTTTTAATTATATAATAAAATAATAATTTTAACAAAATAGACTATTTTAATATTATTTTTAATAATTACCAAATAATAATGTCTCCTTTTGTTCTAATTATGTGAGACTTTATTACTTGAATGTCATAAACATAAAGATTATTTTATATAATTGATTATTAAAATACCTTTAAGAAATAATTCAATCTAAAAGCACGCTAAGCATGTCGCAATCACCAGATAACGCAACACCAAATATTGGCTGAATTAGCTACCACCTTTAATCTTTTGTGGATGTTAGCTGTATAATATGATATGATATATTCACAACTTTCTCTTTTACATTTCTCTCTGTTTCATTAAATTACCGATCAATTTGTCTCAGAAAAATACTAAAAGGGTTTTTTAAACTGTGACTGGAATACAAATAGCACGTATTACTCATCTCAAAGGCTTAATAGATTTTTAAAATATCAAGTACGTATTATTTTATTTAATAGATTTTATCATTGAACTTTCGCATTAAAAAGACACGCGATAACAAAATATTAGTTCTTTATGTTCAAATTATTAATGGCTTAAGATTCTCATTCGAAAAAGAAAAAAAAAAGCGTAAACAATCTTTGTACCAGCTGCAGGTCTTTCAAGAATAATGCCAGTGACTGGCCAATAAATATTGAGGTTTCTAATCATTTTATTAGGGAAGACCAAGGATTCCCACACCAATACCAAACTATTGCTTTAGTGGGCATGAAAATAGTTGTCTTGAGAAGGATACAGGTTTCAACAGAACTATGATGCGCTTCATAATTCATATTCTTATTCTCTGTCAAGATGCTCCCTAGGGACTTATATGTCTATCAACATACACAATATTGTTTTTTTGGTTTATGATATATACACCACCATTCTATGATAAATACACCTATTTTTTAAATAAAAAACTTAAAATATATTTAATTTTTTATTTTTAAGGTATCTAATATTCAATTTAGTAATTTTTTTTACATACATCTTTCTCTTTCTTTGTTTGACTCATGATATATATATCTTAAGTACACCTCCTTTTCTTTTTTTAATAAAAATAAATTCTTAAAATATGGTGAATGTAAAAAAATAACGAGAAAATTATAAATTTTTCTTTGTTTGACTCATGATATATATATCTTAAGTACACCTCCTTTTCTTTTTTTAATAAAAATAAATTCTTGAAATATGGTGAATGTAAAAAAATAACGAGAAAATTATAAATTAAACAATAAAGGAGTAAAATTTTAAAAAAAATACAGGGTAAAAAATTAAAGATATTTTAAAAAATAAAATAAAAAATGTACTTATAATTAAAAAGGTGGTGTATAACTGAGAAATAGTAATTGCTTCCCACAAAAACTTGGCACGGCTCAACTCCGCTTGTATGATTGATTCTATTTTGATAAGGGTATAGTATACCCGAACCAAAAGCTTATAAAACAAGAGAAAAAACGAACCTCTGGGACAAAATTGAATTAAATCAAACATAGTGTTTGAACCTTGTCTAAACTTATGCGAGGTGAAAAATAGGTGTCAAATCAGTGTGGAAAAGCATGGTGACCAAACATGGAAATGGACAATTGGAAATAGTATTGACAGATGGGATATCAAGTGGTAGGAAGGACTCATAATTCAGCTAGTTAACCATGAGAACAATCATGCAACTTCTTGTCACTTTCCACGTCCAGCTCATTATACTACTTGGAGTATGACACAGCCCCTTCCCAACAAACCCACATGAGCCTATTAATTGAACTTCCATTTCATTTTTATTTTCCACTTCACACAAAGGGAACTTCCATTTTTATCAACCTCATCACCCTACAAAAGGACCACCCCTTCCCTTCTCATCTTGTGCTACAATTTCTTAACCACTTTGTTAAAGTACCTTTTTCCTTAAAGGATCTTATCAAAATGAGAGAAATCCTCCACGTTCAAGCGGGTCAATGTGGCAACCAAATTGGAGGCAAGTTTTGGGAGGTGATGTGCGATGAACATGGAATTGATGCCACTGGAAATTACGTGGGAAATTCTCATCTTCAACTCGAGAGGGTTAATGTGTATTACAATGAAGCAAGTGGTGGAAGGTATGTTCCTCGAGCTGTGCTTATGGACCTCGAACCAGGGACCATGGACAGCTTGCGTTCTGGTCCTTATGGAAAAATATTCAGGCCTGATAACTTCGTGTTTGGCCAAAATGGAGCTGGAAACAACTGGGCCAAAGGCCATTATACTGAGGGAGCAGAGCTTATTGATTCTGTTCTTGATGTTGTTCGGAAAGAAGCTGAGAACTGCGACTGCTTGCAAGGTACTACTTCCTTGGTTAACTCAAGTTCTAAGTTCATCCAATAATTTAATGTCCATAACATGATATGTCATTATCCTGTGACAAGATTTAATTAAATTTATTTTTAGTTCTTCAAATTTAAAATTGTTATTTTTAATCTTTATAATTTTAAAAAAGTTTGTTTTATTTAAAGAATCTATTAAATACTGTTATATAAAATAAATCTTGTTTTTATTAGTAAAAATATTATATTAAATTCTGCTATAATTTATTATTTTTAGATATATTGTTAATTACATGAAGAATTAAAACAAAATTTTCAAAAATTATAGACAATAAATACAATAATGTTAAATTTGAGAGACAAAAATAAATTTACTCTAAATTTAAAAAAATAAAATCATATTTAAACTTTTAGATTATGTTAGATAATGCTTTTTATATCATACTTCCATTAAAATTGTAGTTTCAAGTTGATAAGATTAGTTTTTATTATATAAATTATTAAAGTGAAACTTTAATTCTAGTTGGAAAACAATATTAAAAAATACTTATGTAATTGTATTTATGTTTATTGTTTTAAATTAAATTGACAAATTTTAGATATCGTTCCTAATAAAATATGCTAATCTTTAATGTAAATCTTGCATAGATTTATAAAATGAAACTCTAATTCTAATTAGAAAATAATATAAAAAATATTTAAAGAATTGTATGCAAGGGTTTTTACTTTGTTGAAGCTGTGGAAGTATTTGTTTGATGATGATGATGACAGGGTTCCAAATTTGTCACTCACTGGGAGGTGGAACTGGGTCTGGAATGGGTACTTTGCTTATCTCAAAGATCAGAGAAGAGTATCCAGATAGGATGATGCTGACTTTCTCAGTGTTCCCGTCCCCTAAGGTCTCCGACACAGTGGTTGAACCATACAATGCAACTCTCTCAGTTCATCAACTTGTCGAGAATGCAGATGAATGCATGGTCCTGGATAATGAAGCACTCTATGATATCTGCTTCCGAACGCTCAAGCTCACAAACCCAAGTTGTAAGTCTTCACTCTTAACACAAGCATATTTTGATCGAAGAACAACACCAACACCAACTAGAACATGTTGATTAATGCAGTTGGTGATCTGAACCATTTGATCTCAACAACAATGAGCGGAGTGACGTGCTGCCTGAGGTTCCCGGGGCAGCTGAACTCGGACCTGAGGAAGCTGGCGGTGAACCTGATACCATTTCCGAGGCTGCACTTCTTCATGGTGGGTTTCGCGCCGCTAACGTCGCGGGGGTCGCAGCAGTACAGAGCCCTAACGATCCCGGAGCTGACGCAGCAAATGTGGGACGCCAGAAACATGATGTGCGCGGCGGACCCACGGCACGGGCGGTACCTGACGGCGTCGGCGATGTTCCGGGGGAAGATGAGCACGAAGGAGGTGGACGAGCAGATGATAAACGTGCAGAACAAGAACTCGTCGTACTTCGTGGAGTGGATTCCGAACAACGTGAAGTCGAGCGTGTGCGACATCCCGCCGACGGGGCTGTCGATGTCGTCGACGTTCATGGGGAACTCCACGTCGATCCAGGAGATGTTCCGGCGCGTGTCGGAGCAGTTCACGGTGATGTTCAAGAGGAAGGCGTTCTTGCACTGGTACACTGCGGAGGGCATGGACGAGATGGAGTTCACGGAGGCTGAGAGTAACATGAATGACTTGGTCGCTGAGTACCAGCAGTATCAGGATGCTGCGGCTCTCCAAGTGCCAGAGGAAGAAGATGATGATGATGATGAAGAACAACCCATGCCTGCATCTGCATGACACTTCTTCTTTCTATAATCTATATATATCTCTCCAAATACTTTTAAGGATTTTCTTTTCCTCCTTTTCTTTTCTTTCATATGGAATTTCTCCACCTATGTATGTCATACGCTGTTAATTACGTTTACATTTCTTTTATAAGTGCTTCGTTCAAACTCAATTATCATAATTATATGTTAATCTCTGTCTCTATAAATCATTCAAGTGGATCATTAAGGGTTTTCAAATTCATTCTAAATTTGCAAGTAAATTAATTAGTCAAATCCAGAAATTAATTATATTTTAAACGAAAACTCACATCACAAAATTTACGTGTAATTTCGATATTGTCAATTAATCACTGAATAACTTTTTTTTCAAACCCGATTATATTTATTAAAATGTGATTCTCAACGTCGAATGGGTCCATAGCTCAGTGGTAGAGCATTTGACTGCAGATCAAGAGGTCACCGGTTCGAACCCGGTTGGGCCCTTTTTATTTTTATTTTTATTTTTTATGCCCAAACTCACGTTTCCCTTCTGATATTGTTATTTAAAAGTCACACTATGGAGCTTGAACTGCTATCTATACAAAGTGATGATTACCGAAATTTTGATGAAACTATATTAGGTAGGCTCGCGATAATTATGAACATAGTACGAAATATCATATCCTGGGGCTCAATTCCCTTACAGGAGAATATGTACATATGACCTGTTTTAAATACAGTTTATTGCTAATACCTATATAATTTGATTTAAATCCCTAGAGTCATAGGATCATGTTATTGAAAATGAAAAAATAAATAGCTAGATTAAGGGATAGTCAGGTTAATTTTATTGCTAAACACCTTGTGGTATATGATAAATTCTTAATACTCGATGCAGCACTTGCCAAGTCCAAAACAATATCACCCACGATTGTTATTGAAACTAGAAAGCGCATCCAAATATATAATTGTTATACTTCATAAATATTTAGTCAAAATCAGTTCATACTATTCAGCATTACTAAGTTTTGTTAAACCTAATCTCATCTCCACCCCTTTGGATATGTGTAAATCCAACCCTGTCTTGAGAGCAAAAAGAATACATTATCGATAAGAAATGAGAAGTTGAGTACAAATGAAGACTCAGGAAAGGCAAGTCCACAGGATCAAATCAAATGATAGGAGACAATGGCAAAGAAAAGATTAAAAGAATTTATTAGATGCAAAATCAATATGAATATAACATACAAAACAACCTATATTTGATGTCGACACAGTAGCCATAGCCATAACCAATCGTTATGTACATTAAATTACAAGCACAACGACAGCATCTGCTGTTTTCCCAACAAATGCTGACACTTGAACCTTTACAAACACAACTCTCTCCCAAAAGTTTCCCATGATCCTTATACTAACATAGCTAAGAAAAAGAAAAAGAAAAAGAAGAGCCTAGTGCAAACAGATATTGTATAATTAACTTTGTGGTGACTCTAGTCTGTGCAAAAGAATGCTTCTAGAAACCAATGAACCAGTGATGCACAAGTATAAGAAACAAACCACCCTATTCAACTCTTTTTAGTTTCAAGAGAAGAACCCTCTTTAAGTGCTACTTGGGCCTCATTCTCCTTGCCCTGTGCTAAAAGAGCAACAGCTTGTAAATAAAAAGCAATGTACCAAACGGGGGATATTACTTGTGCTTGCATTGCATCATTTAGCGCTTCATCCGCCATATTGTTCATCAGATAACATAGACTACGACGTGCATAAACAGTTGGAGAAACCATCGTTCCAACATCAATGAACTGCATTACACAATAAATCCATCAAACCCATTTCATCATTGGTACAATATCTATGATATAATTTGAATATAGACTATTAATAAACAAAACCCACCGTATAATGAAAATATTTCATATATAAAAAATATACGCTATGTCTTTATTTTGTATATCAATCTACTAGTCTGCAAGGTTATAAAATAGTTTTTGACTTTCTAATATTTGAATTTATCACTTTCTTTTTCTAGATACGAAGATTACTATTTTATATAATTGGTATTTTAACATGTGCAATGCACAAGATAATTATTTGTTTTTATATAACCAAACTTCATAATAAATAAATATTTTTTAATACAAATTATATTATAACTAAAATTTGAAATAAATAAACATTTTTAACATATAAATTATATTTAAGATCGATAATAAATAATTTATATTGCGATACAATGTTACTTTTATCTATTTGATATTTTTTTTTTTTTAAATTAATTTATAAATGAAGATGAAAAGGATAAATTGAAATATGAAAGTAATAACATCCCCAATTCAGGAGAGGACTGCAAGTGATTTTATATATTCTTCAAGAATTGCACTTTTGATCCGTACTTTTTCAATTTCACGAATTGTCCACCAACTTTTTCTTTCGCGAATTTGATTCATCCAATATTTAATGAAAACGTTGATGTGGCACAGTCACATCAGTATTTCTTTTAAATATTGGATGTTAACATTTATGTTGATGGACCAAAATTCCACTTTTTTTGTCATCATGTTATTTGATTAATTTAATTTCGTTGATGACTAATTTTTGTCAAAAAAATTTGAATGACCCCTTTAATGGGACCTTTCTTACCAAGTTTTTTCATTCACAAGATTCAAGTTTGAAACCTGTCTAAGGGATCCGAGTCTAATGTCCCTCAGACCAATAACATATTAGTATTGCACAACTAAAGTAGTGGCAGGATCCAATTCACAAAAAAATAAATAAAAAATAAGGAATAAAATTCGTGAAATTGAGAAAATATAAGGATGAAGAGTACAATTAAGTCACTCTTCAATATAACCAAGAGCCAAGAACATTACTAACCATCGTATAGCTATCGATTGCAGTTGTAAAATCCTTATGCCGAAAAGCAGAATCGCCTTTCTTCTTTGAGTTCAATGTTTCCTGCATCTGGTTTGTCCACATTTGGAATGAAAGCTGCTTGATAGGAAAGCCAATTAACACGGGGAAACATGTCAATATAGTAGAAATGTGAAAAGACATCAAATATTCGAGATTAGACCAAAGGCAACATGTTGTAACCAGGTGTTCAAACAGAAAATTAAAGTTATAGAGTGAAAAAATTATTATTACAGCGACATAGCTCTAACTCTTATGTTGTTTGATATGGCAGACCAAGTATAAGCATAGACAAAATAGTAAGACCAAAAAAGTTTAGTTTCAGGGTCCCTAAACTATTAAAAAGTCAAACAAAAGAAACTGAATTATTTCAGGATCAAACATGACATTTCATTTACTCCACAATCAAGGCAAACAACAAGAACAGCCTTAACTCACTAGGTCAGGTTAGCCGCATTGATCACGGTTAAAGACAAAATTCTCAAAAATATTATTCACCATAAGATCCCTCTTAAAACTTTCCTCTAATGTCCTTCTTTGTCTCCCTCACCTTTTCACAAGACTAAAAACAATGCAATCTACTTTTCTTGTTGGTGCTTCCAGTAGTTTTCTTGCACATGTCAAAACCACCTTAACCGAGCTTATGTCATCTTTTCTTCAATCAGTGACATTAATATTTCCTCATATACAATAGCTTTGTATCCTATCCTTTCTTGTGTAGCCATGCATCCATTTTAACATTTTTTTCCCACTTCCACCTTTTCCTCTTGTTCCTTTAAAGTCCAACATTTACTATCATAAAGTATAACAGGACCACGTATTACAATCCGATAAAACTTTCTGAGTTTCATAGATACTTTGGGATCGCAAATAACCCTCAATACTCCACAATCAAAACAGTCAAAGTTTGAACGAAATTGAATAATAAAGGACCAATAGCTTTAAATGATTTTTTACAGTTTCTACAATTTGGATATCTGAAACAAACCTCAGTTGCTGCTCCCTCATCGTCTTTATACCCAATTTTCTCCAGCACCTCATGCAGGGCAGTCAGATCCATTCGCAGACAAGCTTCTCCAAGAGGTGAAAGGGGAAAAGCAGCTGTACCATCGGGTATACCCATCAGCACATGAGAAGAAACCTACAAAATTAAAAACATCAATAGTCAATTCCAGCTAACAAAGATACGGTGCAAGTGTTAGAATCTTACAATTCGCTATTCAAAACTAAATTTGATACAATTCAACTAGCTAACAATTCGTAGCATGAGATGCATAGCAATAAATGGATGAATTGTACAATTTTTTTTATCACCAATACATATCAAATGACTAAGCAATTCGTTATTTTTCCTTTTTAACATTTCCTTCACCAATTTTCAGCACAGAAATTTGAAAGTTAAATAACCTTAAATTTATTTATCTATTTGCAATATAAAATTTGAAGCACAAAATGCCGAGATGATATTCTGCTCTCTAGTTAATTGCCACATCATCAACTTGTGATCATTCCCCATTCCTTTGTTGAGACATCCATCTCTTTGATTCTCACAAAAGCAATTTGCTTAGTTTCACATCCATCTTTAGGGTACTCTAAGTTGACATGTTAGCAATTTCACTTTATTTTATTGTTACATCAGCAATTTATAATCATTCTTCTTTCCTAGTAGATTGTTTATTCAACTTCTTCATCCATCTTTCAGTTATGTTACTCTAAGTTGAGAAACTTATCTTTTCACTTTCTCATGGATTTCAAAATGCTTCTTTTTTATTGAGTGTAATCATTAGATTTAAAAGTTTATGGCCCCTACACAATGCAGATTTAAACCTAGTTGTATTGATTGCATATTATTTGGTTATTGCTCTAGTATATTTTCATGCTTCTGAAACTGGAGTTTTACAGCAATACTCATTTATTTCATGCACTCTATTTGGAATTTGCTTCCAGGATGACCTCGAAGATATTCACCTCTGGAATACAAAGAGTACCCATAGTCTTTCTTTTATGGTTTCTACAGCATATAGATCTAAATTGCCATAGAATAACATTAATGATTACTCGATTGCTACCATTATAGTTGTTCATTGTCCTACAGCCACAATAATGCCCAGAGAAACATTTCCTATTTTTTCAAAGCTTCAGATTTCAACCTAGAGGCAAAGGTTGAAGTTTAGGGTGGCTTGTATTGTTAGATCAGAAGGGAAAATAATTAGGAACAGTTGGTCATAGGAAATTAGCTAGATAAGTAGGGGAGAGTAAGGATGGAAGGGGCATTTTGAATTATACCAATTGAGATTCAGGCATTAGCTCCATGGTAGAAAGGGAAAACCCTTTGTGAAAGGGAGATCCTTGGAGAAGAAATTTCTCCCGCTGTTCTATTAAATTTTTTATCAAGAAAAAAAAATCAGTTTTTTTTTACTCTATTTTCTATTTTGGGTTCCTCACATTGTTCCATTGACCTTTTTTTCATACTTTTAAAATAAAGGCTGAATAGTATGCAATGACTTGGAATTTTGTTTTGAGATTTATAGTTGTTTTCAATTTCTCACTTAAAAGTACTATTTGAGCACTATACATCATTTCTGTGAAATATTTAAGCTATTTTTCGTCAGGTTTCTGAATCTTATGATTCAATGCGGTTTACAAATCGCCACTCAACAATTAGATTGACAGTCCAGAATTTGAATTACGATTTGATAACCACTAGACAGATATGCCTTGCAAATATAAACCAGTCTTATAGCATTCTTCTATATGCTATCCTTGTATAGTTTATCTTGTATGTAAACTATATGATATTGTTTTATGTAAAAAATTTTATAAATGACATTGAACAGAGAAAGCAAGAAACATCAGAAAAAGCCAAATTATGTAGAGCTCTATAATCCTAGAAAAACCAGTCTTGAAGCATTCTTCTATAGTTTATCTTCATTTAAAGTATTAAGTCCAGCTATCCTTGTGTCTCAGACAGTAAACTATGCTGAACCACTTTCAAACCAGCTAACCTCAGAATCCTTCTGAAGAGGTATTAGAGCAGCAACCAGTGATCTTGGATTAGGACGCTCTCGTGGTTCAGATTGCAAGCATCGCGAGGCTAGACGCACTAATTCAGTTCCATCATCATTTGAAAGCTCTCCTTCCAAACAAGAGTCTGATAGCATTTGAAGGTTTTTGTCTCTAATCAGGTCAAGGGCCTGCAAAAATTATGAAGTTAAGTGTATGTTTTGAAAGTGATTGTTTTGTGGACATAAATTTTTATTCACAAACTAGTAATTATTTCTTTAAAATAAGCCAACTAAACACACATTAAATGTTAGATGCACAACAAAATCAAAATCAATACAGAACTCTTGGTCCTCAAGCAAATAAAAACCACCATATTCAATCAAAAGAGCCTCATGTTAGTCCGAACAAATAGGAAATTTAAAATTCTCAACAGGGTACTTCTTACTTGATTTTAGCTAGAACAAGGGGAAGAATAAATCTATTAAAAGTAAGAGTTCAATTAGACTAAGAAGATAGACAACATTAGAGGACAGGGCATACTGGTTCAGTCCCCTGATCATTTGTAAATTGTTCAATTTCAATCCCCTGATCATTTGAAAATTGTTCAGTCCCCTGACCATTTGAAAATTGTTCAGTCCCCTCATGATTTGGAAATTGTAGCATCTTAGGGTTCCTGGCTCTAATCAGGTCAATGACCTGCAAAAATTATGAAAGAAAGGGTATGTTTGGGAAGTGATTATTTTGGGAAATTACTTATTAAAAAAACTCTAAAAACTTCGACAAAAATTACCAATTAAACACATTAAATATTATATGCATAACAAAATTGAAATCAAAATCAATACAGAACGCTTGGTCCTCAAGTATATAAAATCACCATATTCAATCAAGAGCCTCATGTTAGTCCAAAGAATTAGGCAATTTAAAGTTCTCAACAGGGTACTTGTTAGCTCTAGAACAAGGGAATAAATTGATCAAAAGAAAGAGCTCAATTAGAGTAAAAAGAAAAGACATTATAGGACAAGGCACACAAAGCATGGTTTGCATAACTTTATCGAGTAAAGAAACTTACATGGCTTGGAGGAATATGTTTTCCACTGAGAAGGTCAAGCAAAAGGGTACCAAAGCTATAAGTAACACTCTCTGGAGTAACTCTGCCTGCATGACCACGGAAAAGAAGGGCAAAATATATATTTATAATTATGCCGTAAGATGATAGGATACAAAATGATTACAATAATTAAACCATCATATATAAACAAAAAAAATTTCTATTTGGGGAAATGAGAATTATATTATCCACTCCAGTAACATAAAGTCTGAAATGGAAAATCAGATCATGGGCCTGTTTGTTTAAGTTTTTTCCTTTAAAAAAAGGTTTTTAAAAATAAAGTAAGCAGTTTTCTACTTTTTTGATGTGTTTGTCTAAATTTCTTTTTAAGAAGAAAACAATTTTCTGCTTTTTTTAAGAAGCAACTCCTATCTGCTTCTTAAAAAATCACTTTTTTTAGTCTTAAAATGGCCCTATATCAACCTGTTTATGATAATAAGATAAATTATGGTCATAGAACTAATAGCTCCACCCAACATGGTCAAATATCACCAACATCAATGTGAAGATGAATTTCCACAGAAATAAGTCAACCATTGGATTAAGAGCTTGTAAAGAGAAGCATTAAACCATAAAATTGATCTGAAGAACAAATTTTGCAGAAGATCTGGTCTATGACTAAATAGTTTTGCACCATCTTAACCAGTGAATTCTTATTGATAGAGAATATGAAAACATAAATGATAATGACAATAGTCCAGGTCCAGGAGTAAAATTACTAGAGGTACCATCTGAGGACATTTTAGCTCCAAGGGATAATAATAAAAATGATAGTAATATCATCAGTTCATCACAATACGTACTAATGACTTGAGCTTCTAATGAGAAACTATTTACACACCATACTATACAAAGACACTCTAGTTTATTTACCCTTTTAAAGATGTTGGTTTCTAGCGGGAAAAAAAGGAAGATGCAGGGTTCTACAAGCAGTTGATACAGAACACTTTGGATACAAATAGAACAGCCAAATAAAGTGAAAGCAATGACAACTGAAGCTCATTTTTTATCTGTAGGAATTCTCCATGGGAAACCATATGCCATAGCATGTGCCAGTTAAGAAGAGACTAATAAGAAAGCCATATCCCAATCTTCATAAACATTTCTATCATTATACTACACTCTACTTTTCTTAGTTTCACAGCTCAATACCCTATTAATTTGGCAAAAACTAAATGAAAATAAAGTAACAGAAACAACTGTTATGAGAGAAGAAAAGCCATTATCTTATCAAGAAACTTGTAATAAGCATGGTACAAAAGCTTGATCATGCACAGGCACAGAAGATCAAGCAACATGATTTTGTGATGAAAAATATATCTTGTCTTAGGGGTACCTGTCCTCAGATATTCAGGTGGAGTAAACGCTAAATTCGTACTATAACTTTTCCCATCTCGACTATTTTTCATCAGACCGAAGCATGAAAGCCTAGGATTGTAGTCCTGAATAACAAGGGGGGAAAAGAAAAAGGAAAGTCAGTACATGGTATTCAGGCTAAGAACACACAAATTTATTGCAGTTTCTTTTCTACCACTATCATTGCCCTTTCATCACCCCTTAATCAAATAAATAGCTACTTACTATGCATCCTAGTCTTTACCCATTCTAAGGCTATGAAATATTGAATGATGATCAACTCTATATCTTGGTTCTCATAAACCTCTGATATCATTTCCAATTCTACAAAACAGTATATAATTTGCTATGTGCAGTGTATCTTGGCTGTCTATCCAATTATTGTGAATTAATAATTAAACTTAATTCAGAGTATGAAATTTTGAAGACAAACTTGAACAAAATAGGTAATTAAATTGTTGACCTGTCAAGGGAAATGAGTTATCAATATTAAATGATATTAATTAATTTTTAAGCAATTCAATTGTATATATAATAACATTTTATCAACTGTAGTAAATCTTTCCATGATTGCACCATTTAGATTGTGTGCTATATACCACTTCATAAGGATAAAAGACAATTAGTATATCTGCATCTTCTAAGCATCATCCAACAAAACCTTAACCTTGCGTGATACTGGTCATGTCACAGATGAAGGAAATAAACTTACAGCATCAAAAAGAACTCGGTAAGCATGAAGATCATGATATAGTGCACGCCCTTTGCTGGTACAGTACTCTAGAGCTTGGGCAATGCATAGAGCAACTCTCATTCGCATTGCCCATTTCATAGGCTGATTTTCCCCTAAATAATTGTGTAAAAGGTTGTTAAAAAAATGTCATCAAACCATATTTAAGAGAATGAGGGCATAAAGTAGTGGCAACAAAAAAAGCACAGCTACAGTTAACCAAGTAGAATTAAATGAATACAAGAAGGCAATTGAAATATTTCCATCATAATAAACTCCCTGGCAAACAGATTTTAACAATATTCTGATGAAGGGACTTTCCTAATAACACCAGATTGCTTTCATTCACTGGTTGGATAAGAGTTTTATTTAGAATAAAAACAAGAACAAGTAAATACCTAACACAGCGAAAATGAATTACTTGCCATTTATGCACTTAACTTACAATGGAATAAATGTTTTGCCAAAGTCTCATTGGGCATATATTCAGCAACAAGTAACCTCTCATCGCCATCACAGCAACATCCAAGCAGATTTACCAATCTTTGGTTCCTTAGCTGACCAACAGCCCTGGCCTCCTCCTGCAGGGAGGGGGGGTGAGGAAAAAGTTCTTTAACGAGCTAACAATGAATGTTGAATAGTACATTTAAGTGAATGAAGAAAACTACATCACTAACCACATGGAAAATAATTGTGAAAATGGTGGATAACTTTCAACTGGCACTACATGTAAAAAGGAAAATCCATAAAGCCACAAATCCATCACCAAGATGTTTGAAGCTTTAAGTCCAAATGCAACTTACCAATAAGGAATCCAAGCAGGAAAAAAAACCAAGAGCTTTTTGTTAACACTGTCTACTACTATTAATTGAGCCAACTATCATTGGTAAGTGCAACTAACATAATTCACGCACCAAATTTTTTAGCACAAGTTAATTATATTGATAGATGTAGCATATTATATATAAAATATCTATGAAATATGAAAATGTTGCACACCAAGAGAAAATATTCAATAGAAACAAGAAACACAGATGTCATTATGCCATGCATGACTTAGGATGCATTAAACCATGTAAAACAGGCATAAGTTGAACAACACCCATGTGTATAAAACAAACTAAATTGATCCAGTTTTTCCAACAATTCCCATTTAGATATTGAAATGTTATTAAAATCTACAGAGAGTGGGCACATGCAAGCTCACCAAAAATTGTTGTTCATCTGGCCAGGCTGATCTGTTGAACCGTTTGACAGCAATTAAATCATGTAAAGCACACTTAAGTTCAACTGTCTTATATTTATTTAGCCTATATAAAGAAATGCAAATGTGTGGGGGGAAAAAAAGCATGAAAAAACAAACTAATTCATGGTCCTTAGGAATCCCAACCACCATAGGATCTCTATGTCCTCAACGGCACAAGAGCAAGGTAAAACCAACAAAATAAATAAAAAGGTACACATGCACAAGCCAAAATAGATAACTAATTCAGCCGTTAAAAGCAGAAAAAAGAAAGAGGGATAGACCAACCAGATGGCAACATTATTAAAATGCAGAATCACACAAGAAATCCAGTAACAGATATTTAAAACGAACATTTAAAATATCAAATCTAGCTGGAGTTGGCACATGCATACACATCAAAAATTGCTGGACATCTGCCCAGGTTGAGCTGTTGAAACCATTTGAAAGCACTTAAACCATGTAAAACACAGTTAAATTGAACAGTGTTGTATTTATTTATCCTAGATAAAGAAACACAAATGCATGAAAACAACACACACGTGTATAAAACAAACAAAAAATGATTCAGCCATTCCCCTAACTCCAATAGGATCCATGTCTGCAGCAGGAAAAGCCTGAGGTGAAACTGACAAAAAATTAAACGGTACACATGCACAAAGCAAAATAATAATTGATTCAGCCATTAAAACCGAAAAAATTTAGTAAAACCAACTGGAGATCGCAACGTTATAATAAGCATAAGCATACAAGAAAACCGGTACTTATAACGAACATTTAAAATAACAAATCTGCATGGTGTTGGTATCACGTAAACTGATGCATGCTTACCAAAAATGGCTGCGCATCCGGCCAGGCATTTCTGTTGAACCGTTTGACAGCAATTCGCATCTGATTATCAAGTTTCCCTTTATAGACCACATTTGGAGCCTTTTCTCCATGCTCAGAAACTATATTTTCAACAGCAAATCCGGATGTAGCCCTCCTAAGCTGATCAATTGAGAATTCATGAAACCTCGGCAAATCAATGGCCTCAACAACATTTTCTTCGTTTGCTGAACAAGAAATATAAACACAAACAGCAATCAATCTCAGAGCAGCAAGAACAGAAACTAGGCACATTCAATGATTCAAACACTTACCGCAATCAACCTGAACCTCAGGAGCTGGACCATCTTGCTCAGTACCCGTGCAGCATGCTGGGAACTTAGAAAACTCACAACCCATGCCAACCCTGTAACTCATTGGCAAATTCTAGTTAGTCAATAAACTTTCAAATTTTCTCAAAAGCCCCTTTTGCTTAAAACTATAATAACCTCTCAGCCTAGCACCACGTTCAACCAAACACACAACACACTTTATCACCCACAGAATTTCATTAAAACAAGTTTGGTGGGGCTTCACTTGCCAAAATTGAATTTTGAAAAATACCCAAAAACCCTTTTACATCAAGAAAGAAAAAAAAATCCACAACAAACAGGTTATGTACGGAACTCATCAAGAATTCACAATTGACTGTCACCTGGAACCATGTTGAGCTAGGTAGGGAGAACCCAATAGGAGTTAACAATAAAAAAATGATAGAAACTACCCAATAAAGCAATTATCAAAAAATTAAGCAAAACAATAACGAATATTCGGCATATACAGCTAAAAAATCAAACCTTTCTTTCAGCAGCAAATGAGAGCAGTGTTGGGTGAATCCACTTCAATGGTGCTTCCCTGAATTGTCAACACAAAGCAATCAAATCAGCCAAAAAAATGAGCCCCAAAACATTTATTTTACAGAAATTGAAAAATGCATTAGAAGAACACTTATTGAGGCAGCAAGCAATGAAGCCAAGGTAGTTTTATGCAAAATCAAAGATCAGAAAGAAACATGAAGGGGAATTGAAGAAGAAAAGCGATAAGAAGCATTGACGAAGCACCTAAGCAAGCGCAGGCGCAGGGATTCGGAACAGTCAAAACTAAAATATAAAAGACAGGGAAAGTGAAAGGACTTTCTTTTCTTGTTCTCATCTTTCACACTTTATATACTGTGTTTTAATATTACTTTTAATCAGCATAATCAATAACCTCATCAATAAAACAATAAATAAAAAAAATGCAAGTCAAACTCAAACTCAACTTCATCAACCTCTACTTTAATTCTCCCTACCGCGTTAATTCATTTATATAAAGTTTCGTAATTACCATTTTTAGTATAAAATTATTAATGTTTTAGTATCTATTTTCTTTTGAATGAAGATATTTTAAAAAATTAATATGTTCAAACTTAAAATGACATTAAAAAAATTTGAATCTAAATTTTTTATACTAATTAATAACTTTAAATGTTTTATACTAAATATAATATTATACTATAATTTATTGATAGTATTAAATATCTTTAATGTATGTACGATAACATTCAATATCAATAATTTTAAATTTGAATTTTAACATAAAGTTACATTAAATATTTAAAAGAAAACTTTTAGCATGCATATTAATTCTACTTTGAATAAAATTTTCTTTCACGAAATATTCTTAAATGTATTAACTATTAATAGATCTAAAATCATATATATGTCGATAAACTTAATTCTTTAAATAAACAAACAAGTATACAACTGAGTCATAAATTTATTATAAATACCTCAATATATTTCTTCTACATGTAATCATTACCTTTGAGTGCTTTCATGCCTAATAAGAAATTGGTTTAAATATATTTTACATCTCTAAAACATTTGTTAATTTTAATTTTTGACAGTAATATTAAAATATTTCGTTTTTATTTTATTTAAGAAAAAAAAACATTTTGTCATTAGAACAAACAAATCACTTTCGAATTGAATTAATTGTATAACACCTTCATTTAACAGTACAAATCTAACACCTATAATTAAAAAAAATGTGTTTTTAATAAAAAACTTTATCAAGTAAATAAATTAGAGACCAAAATTAAATATATATATATATATATATATATTTGTTTTAATAAAATTAAAAACATGTCTAAATCCAAAATATTTTATACTTATGATTTTAAAATCATTCTAATTAGTGTTTTGTAGATTACATGGAATATCTACAAATATAAATAAAATGTAAATTTCAAATATATATATATATATATATTATTTTAAATGATTATATTATAAATGAAAAAAAATTGTGTTAAAAAATAGTCTATTTAATAATAGTTTGTGAATAATTTATTGTGCATAAGAAAAAAGCTATGTATGGAATAAAATAATTAATAAAAATAAAGACGGTATAATTAACTTTTTTTTTGAAGAGATTGTATAATTAATTTAAGTATCGATTTCTGTGTTTTAATTTAATATTATTAAACTTAGTGAAAAATTGTTATAATTTGGATGCGATATAGAAAATTCGATTTTTTTTTACGAATGTTTTGTTTCTTTATTTATATATACTTGCACTATTTAACCAAACATAAAGCAAAATATCTCTTGTTTTTTTTTTAATCAAAACATGAAGTAGATTTTCGTCACTATTCAACCTTTTGTGATGTAATACGATAGATTGAATAATGTATATTACAAAATAGAATTAAATTAAATATATAAATATGGAGCAAAAAAATATATATAATGGTTGCTTATTATTTTGAGTATATCGCTGTACGCATGAGGGTTTGGTCCTTCATTACGCTGTTTCCACCGACATCGCCCCTTTTATTAAACCGTTCACAACTCAAACCCCATTACAATCTGTCCACTTCATACACTAATAATAATAATAAAAATTCTATGAAAATATCCAAAGTCAAAACTAAAGATAACATTATACGGAAAAACAATATATATATATATATATATATATATGAATTAAAACTAAACAATTATTACATATAATTAAAACTAAAAAGGAAGGGTTATAATTATTAATTAAAAACTAATAGTTAAGTTTTAAATAATTAATTTATTATCATACCTGCATGAATTTTTTCACAATTTTAACTTTAATGTTCCATCTATGTCTATAATATAATAATACTTTCATTTTAAAAATAAAATGTTTCACTACTTTTATCAAATTAAAGTTAGAAATATAGTTTTAAAAATAAAAAATGTAAATATATATCATATATAAAAGTGTTTTTTTTTTTATCAAAGTTTATTTAAACACGAAATCTTAAATCAGTAGGTTTCCATTAAAAGTTGTGAGAAATCGTTAAAGTATTTGTGCATATATATTTTTGGGATAACAAATCTTATAATGTTATATTATCAATGTCTTCTCACATGATAAATTGTGTGTTTGGTTTCACGTGGGTACATTTTTTCTAAAGCAATTAACGTTAAAGTAATAACAGTGAATTTACGTTAAAGTAATAACAGTGAATTTACGTTAAATAGGATTTCTAAGAAGAAAATAACGTCCTAAAAGTTATATAAAACCTTGCTGTGGAACTTGAAATTAAGATTCTGTTTTGTATATCTGAATATAACAAATTAAAAGTGAAAGAAACGTAGTATCCCCTAAAAAAAGTATTCGATATTTGGTTGCACGTCTTCTTTAACGATTCAAATTAACCATATTATTATTCAAAACTGTTTTTCAGGCAAAGTTTCATGGAGAAATGACGAGTGTCATGCATGCATTAAAAGCAAGAGGTGGTGAATGGTATTAAGCATAAAGAGGGGGCAATGAAACCTAAAGTAGGGAAAAGATTTAACTTAAACCATAAAAATAAAGTTAGAACTTTAACAACCATGTCTTGCAAGCTATTCTAAATAAACAGGTTTTTTGTCATTATGTGAATTTTATATTATTATTATATAAGTAACCTCCTTACCGTTTATAATATTTATGATTTATGAGGTTTCTTTGTGATTTTTTTAGGGAAACCTTTACTAAGAAACGGTAGATATTAGATAAGAATATTGTAATATTATACTCAATTCACCGACACTTTTTTTTGGTATAATCGTATAAGTAATAGTATTTTGGTATAAGTGGATAATTTATAACTCATAATAAACTTCTTGTTTAAGATTTTAAATTTTAGTATGAAATATAGGTTTAAAAGAAAATATATCTTATGTATATTTATGCGATTCTTTAATTAAATACTTCATACTTTTATATAGTTATAAAAGAAATTACACAAATATTACTTAATTAATATTTATATATATATATATATAAGTAAACCAGGTTAAATGTTAATGTAGTATTTAATAATATTGATGTAATATTTATATAAATATATTAAAAAAATAATTTTTTATATAGTACAATAAAGTTGTGTTACTAAATTTATAGATTTTATAAAAATTAGTTTCTAAAACATGTGTTTAAAAAGTGAAAAAATCAAATATATACTAACATATAAATTAATATATATATATATATAGAGAGAGAGAGGGGGAGAGAGAGAGAAAGATAGAGAGAGATGTGTATAAACTTAAATTAGATATATAAAAAATATTAATATATCATTTAATAGTCTATAAAACATATTTAAAATGTGTACTAGTGTAATATATACATTTTTATATTATTGTATGAGTAACCTTTTTCTCTTTTATCGAAATTTTCAGGATTCATTATGACTTTTAAGAGAACCGCTAATCGATATTTATATTTATTATAATAACATATACCTACTCTTATTTAAGATTTTATGAAATTACACATAATTTTATTGTGTTTTTCAACATTTACAACAATTTTTCTGATGAGACATTTCAGTGTAATATTTTCTCAAATAATTCAGATATTAATATGGTAATCAAAAGATTTTAGTGAAATATTTTTCAAACAATTAAAGAGATGAATGTAAAAGTAGAACGAAAAAAAAAGGGTGTAAGTGTAAATTCACATAACTTCAAAAAGTAACCGTATAATTTCTTCAATTTTTTAACCAGATCAATTTCAATAGAAGAATATTATATATTAGACAAACTTTACTTAATTTACATTTTATAAAAAAATTGTTTCTAAAACAATACTCTAAAAACAAAAATTTAAACATTATATATATATATAGCGTTTAAAGCTTTTAACATAATATTCATGTTAACAAATATACAAATAAATATATTTTTCATATATAATATGACGTAATATTTTTTAATTAATTCAGAATTTACAAAAAAAAAAGTCTATAAAACATATTTTAAAACTAAATATGCTTATTAATAATATATATATATATATATTATATATATATAGGGGAATGTTAATGTACTCCCACTTATTTTTTAGTGGAAGTATGTTAGCAACCTATACCAAAATTTTAGGACAAGAAAACCACTCATTTCTTTTGATTTGGTTAATTTGTATAAAGGATATTATAGTAATTTAATTTAATTTTAAATGAAAATAAAATATTTTTTTTCTCTTATTAACTTCATTCTCTAAGTCATTTATTTTTTCTATTAATTAATTTTTATTTGTTCAGAAAGAGAGGGGAGAGACATCATGAGAGATGAGAGAGAAATGAGTTAAAGAAAGAATTTAATAGGAGAGAGATAAATAAGTTAGAGAATGAATTTAATAAGAAAGAGAAATGAGTTGGAGAAGAGTTCAGAAAGAGAGGGGGGAGACATCATGAGAGATGAGAGAAAAATGAGTTAAAGAAAGAATTTAATAGGAGAGAGATAAATAAGTTAGAGAAAGAATTTAATAAGAAAGAGAAATAAGTTAGAGAATAAATTTAATAAGAGAAAGAAATGACTTAGAAAATGAAGTTAATAAGAGAGAGAAAATATTTTATTTTCATTTAAAATTAAATTAAATTACTATAATATCCTTTATACAAATTAACCAAATCAAAAGAAATAAGTGGTTTTCTTATCCTAAAATTTTGGTGTAGGTTGCTAACATACTCCTACTAAAAAATAGGTGTGAGTACATTAGCATTCTCCACATATATATATATATATAAAGATGAGGGATCCGTTTGCTTCAAGAATAAGTCTATCTATATTTATTTTGTTCAATAACTCATCATCTATATTAAATATCAACGATTCAACCGTTAAATTTAAAGTTCTTAGTGTATATATCCAATTTATAATTTATTTAAAAAATTAAAAATCATATAATATTTCGTTTCATTAATTCAAATTGATGGATAATCATAAAAATATTTTTTTAGAATTAAATGACCAAATTGAACTTTTTTTAAAATAATGAAATTAAATTGAATTCTAAAAATAAATAGAGAGACTAAAAATATAATTCAGCCATCTTAATTTCTCCTAAAATGAGATTATTTATGTGGAAGTTGTTGTAAATTACAAATCTAACCTCCTTCACTGCTTGAAAGTATTTGCTAAAGTGAAGGATACTTATGTAATTTTATTTTATAACATTAATTAACTTTTTTTATTTAATCAAATATAAACCAATATTTACCTTATATTTATCTCTTATTAAACAATTTCAATTAAACTACTAGAATCAACCTAATGGTGGAAGTTGTGGTAATATGCACATATTTATAGATTCAAACTTTGATGTCATCATTATAATTCTAATGAGTGAAAAAAGTTACTTCAAATTTCAAGTATTGTAATTATGCAATTTTAATTATTCAAAATTAATTAAGTAATTTAGTCTATCAAATATCTTAATTATATGATTTTATTCATTTAAGTATCATTATCATGTAATTTTTTATCTATTTAAGTTCATTTGTGTATTATATGATATATATTAACATTACTAATATATATAACTGAAATAAGTAAAAAATTATATAATTTTTTAATTTTTAATTGATTAAAATCACATAATTATAATATTTTAGAACTAAAATTATTCTATGAATGACTAAAATTACAAAACTATTGTACTTGAAATACAAAAAATGCATTTAAGCCCCTTGTCTTCTATTTATTTCATCTTTGTTAAACACTAGTTATAACTAATATAAACACTTATTATACAAGTGATATCAATTTATGCCTCTTATCCAAATTATCTAGAGTTTAAATACTCATATTATATGCGTTTATAATCATTGACAAATACTAATTATTATTTTTGCTAATAAATACCTTTTTTTTCTTCTTTTGTATCAATATCATAATTTAAAAAATCCAACACTAGCTAAGAAACATTGCAATATGTACCATGCAAACATCCACTATTTTAACGAGACAACATATATATAACAAGACAATAATCAAAATTTTGAGATAACTTTAAGGTGTGTTTGATTTCACGTTTAATATGTTTAGAATTAATGTAGCTTCTAAGATTTTCTGAAATTTATAATTATTTTTGTTAAATATTTGAATATTATTAAAATTGATTTTAAGATGTTGAAATTTACGGAAGGTAATTACTAGTAGTTTCTCCATAAAATTATATTTATAATTATATACGGAAGGTAATCAATTTTAGGATTCTATCTGTCTAAATTTATAATTATATATATTCAAAAATAATTTTGATAATAAATATTTAAACAATATTTAAAATGAAAGTAAAATTTTTATCATTTAAACAAAAAAATTATATTATTAACTGACGTTTAAATTTACGTAGGAAAATGAATTATAGGAAGACATGCAAACTCAGGCTTACTTTACGAATCTAAATTTAATTTGCTAGTTAAAGACTTTATTCTCCCTCCCTCTCAAGCAAAGGCTGAGTACCCTAAGAAGCAATAGCAGTCAGAGAAAGGACACAATGTTTAGGTACTTTGGTAGGCCACACTTTCCCTCCAATGCCCACATTTCTGGCCTCCTGTTTGGTGTTTTTTTGGTCAGATACTTCTACTTCTACGTTCTACCCTCACAAACCCTCTTTTACCCTCATGACTCATCACTCATGACATCCACACCCATCTGTTTCACACACACTTCACTAACCCCACTTTAATTCAAAAGCTCATATTTTTATTCATTTTTCCCCTTCTCAGCTCCCAACTCTCACCCCTTGTCCTTTCCCCTGCATTTCTCTGTCAAAACCCTAGATTTCAAATCTGGGATTCTGTTTTCTTGGTGTGTTCAGACATGGTTCTGGGAACTGCCAGCTTGCAAGTCTCAGTTTCCTGTCTGGATTCCAAGCTTCTGTTGTTCCCACATTTTTTTTTATAGACACAACATTTCGCAGTGAGTTTTCTCATGGGTTTTCATTCGTGACACTGTTTTGAGTTCTGTTCAACTGGGTAGGGTTATTTGATCCTTTTGTAGAGTGGTTTTTTTAGATTCATATAAGTGAACAAAACCCTTGCAAAACCCTTCTTCCAGCACACACTTTTCCAAGTCTTTGAGCTACTGTATTTTAGATCCCTATTTTCTTTTTTGGGGGTAAAATCCTTTTTTTTTTCATTGTTTGTGCCTTTTCACTTTAGCATCTTCACCTATTTGTTGTGTTTAAGTAGCAAAAGGTTGTGTACTTATAAGTAAATGCATGGATGGGAGAGAAGCTATGGCATTCTCTGGAGGCTCAGCTCCATATTACATGCATAGAGGAGGAGGGGTTGGTTCTGAAACACAGAGTGGGTTCCAAGCAGCCCCTGGGTTCAGGCCTTTGCCAAACACTGGCATCAAAGCTGAGTCAAATGCAAGGGGTGGTTCTGTAGGGTCTGGTTCCACATTTTCAGTGGAGCCTCCTCAGGCTCGTGTCAATTTTAACCATGGCATTGGCATTGGGGCACCTTCAAGTGAGCCTGTGAAGAAGAAAAGAGGGAGGCCCCGTAAATATGGGCCGGATGGGCCGGTTTCTTTGAGACTGTCTCCAATGTCTGCCCCTGCTAACTCCACCCAGGGTGAAAGTGCAGCCACCCCTTCTCAGAAAAAGGGTAGAGGGCGACCACCTGGATCTGGAAGGAAGCAACAGCTGGCTGCTTTAGGTCTGTTTGTTTTAGGATCTTCATTTATTGTTTATTGTATTTTTGCAATGTGGTTAATGATTTCTAGATGTGCATGTAATGTAACTTTGATGGAAATTTGCTCTTCAGTATTTGGTTTGACTAGTTGTGCTTTGATTTTGATGCAGAAGTAGATGATGACTTGAATTTCTGATGAATGCCCTGTTCAGCTTTATGCTGTTAAATTTTTTTTTTAATCATTATTGGAGGTGGATTATGGTTGTGGTTTCATATTGCTACAGTGCATTTTTAAATGCATTATCTTTTGTTGCTATTATTTTCTATTTCTACATGCATTATACTGGTTGATTCTGTTTCCTTTTTTCCTAATTATTTGCCATATTTTGTTCTGTGTTGGGCCAGGTTACTGACATTCGGCCATGGTTTGGTTTCTTTTGATATGATTACTCGTTAGTCTTAAATTCTACTTTTGAAATTTCTGGAAGTAAATGTAATTGTGATGAAGGGATTTCCTGGAGATGTATAGAGCTGGTTAAACCGAGATATATATATGTAGAAATGAGTAGCCATTATCATGTATACTGACTGCAATAATCAGCTGACCTTGGCTATCCAGGTTCACATTTGTGGATTTTAAGATTAAAATAAAAAATTAGATGCCAGGTTTTGCACTTTTCCCTTCCCCTTGTGCAACTTCATTTATTGCTTTGGTAGTAACTAATGGTAGCAACATTACTAGCCATATTTTGTACCTATTTATTTTCTTGAACATATCTGGGTTTTTAACATCTTTGTTTATTGCTTTGCAGGTGAATGGATGAATAGTTCAGCA